TTCAGTGATGTTTTCTTCACTACACTTCAGCCATATGTTTCCTTGGACCTTGGCCTGAACCCTGGTCCTTGGCACTACCAGAAGGGATACCAATTTTGAAATCTTGATATAAACATTCTATTCTATGCTTTGCCTACCTCTGCCTATTCTGTTCTCTAAGTCCACTACTGTAGTTTTCTGACCTGTCAAGAAATATTCATTGATTCCATAATATCCTTATTATTTATCCTGTCAGTCTCCTCTTACGCTTGGGTCTAGATTTTTATTGCCCATCATTTGGTTGCTCCTTAGCACATACTCTTGGCTCTTAGTTTCTCTCCTTATCTTGGGTGAAAGCTGATTCCTTCTTTATGTTAGGAGATGGAGTAGGTATTCGTTCTTACCCCCTGTTGCTCATGCAGATCATTACCTGCTTCCTTTTGCTGGAGCAAATCACCCAACTGAGTTTCAATTTATATTCATAGTTACAAACCTTGGCAGTTTTATTGGGTTTATTTAGTGAATGTGTAATCATTGTGTTGGGGTTTGTTGGGTGTAATCAGAAAACAACTTTACTCTTTTCCCTCATTGCCTGTTAAAAACTCCTCTCTGGGACTGATTCTTTGACTGACCTTGTAGAGGTTCAGCATCCCCAGGTCACTTCAAATTTTTAAAAAAGTTTCATTTTGCTCAGGCCAGGTAGCTCAGTTGGTTAGAGTGTCGCCATAATATGCTAAGGTTCTGGGTTCAATCCCAGTCAGGGCACATACAAGAAGCAACCAATGAATGCATAAATAAGTGGAACAACAAACTGATGTATCTGTCTCTCCTCCTCTCTCTCCTTTCCTCTCTTTCTCTAAAATCAGTAAATTAAAAAAAGTTTCATTTCAATGATTAAAACGTCAAGTTCTATTTAGTACTCCAAACTTGCTTTATACATGAAGTTCTACCCTTCTTCAGTGGAGCCTGCTTCAGGCTTTGGAAGCCTGTAGGGGAAGAGGTGGTTCAGATGGACGTTGCTGGCGGTCTCCAGCTGTTTCCTGTTGCAAACTATGTTGCCGTGAAGATCCTTGTGGTGGAAGAACGGTTTAGAAGTTGAGCATTGAGGCTGGGGTTTTGAAATCCCATCTCTGCTTAGTAAGCTGTGTAATGGTAGACAAATTACTCAACCTTTCTATACCTCAGTTCCTCATCTGCAAAGTGGGGGATAACAATAGTGTCTGCTTGATAGTCTGCTGTGAGGATTAAATGTAGATTAATGTGGAGAACTGTTAGCATAGTGCTCAAAAAATATGTCATAAGTACATCTTCATGCATATATACAAATAATTCTTTTGGATGATTAAGTTTTTAAAATGATTTATTTTTGTATTTAGTTATTTTTTTTAAAAAGATTTTATTTATTTATTTTCAGAGAGAGGGGGAGGGAGAAAGAGAGGGAGAGAAACATGAGTGTGTCCTTGCCTCTTGTGTGCCCCTTACTGGGTGCCTGGCCCACAACCCAGGCATGTGCCCTGTCTGGGAATCAAACTGGTGACCTCAATCTACTGAGGCTGGCACTCAATCTACTGAGCCACACTAGCCAGGGCAGTACTTAATTATTTTTGAATACTGGTAAATAAATTGCCTTTGGTGTAATATAACTCATTTATCTTTGTATCTATTTTTTGCTTGTTCTTACACTTTTATGATCACGTAATAGAAATATTCATGATTAATGCCACTGGTATGATCTAATGTTGCCGTCCACCATATTTTACCCATAGGGACCCCTCTTACATTTTTTTCTATCTGTGGGGAGCTGATTTAGGATAGTCTATGAAGGCTTAAGATTTTTGGCTCCTGATACAGTGCTCGTTAGTTCAGAGCTTAATATGTGTAAGGTGCTCTCAGATCCCTATCACTAGGAAGTCTTTTATAACCCTTTGCAGTTAACATAGCAAATTCACATATTTGATAGCATTAATTTCACAGAGCAACTCTAAAATAGGTTGGGTAAACAGTCATATTTCAGTATAATAGATGAGGCTGAGGCTGAATGCTTTGCCAGACATTGCACAGCTAATAGTAGAGGCAGACTTGAACCTAACTTCTTACTTTAAGTCTCTGTGCATGAACCATAATGAGAGAGTTACATGTTTCTAGACATTATGGTTCTCAGAGGTGATTTTGCCCCTCTCCCCCAACTGACACTGGCCATGTCTGGAGACACTTTTGGTTGTCAGAGCTGGGGAGGGGTATACTCCTGGAATCTAGTGAGTAGAGAAGCCAGGGAGGCTGTTAAACACCCTACAGTGCACAGGACAGTCTCTTACAGCAATGAGTTATCTGGGCTGGAATGTGCATAGTGCTTAGGTTGAGAAACTGCTGTAAGTGATGATTGATGACATAGGGCCAAGATTATGAAGTTTTGTTCAGTAAAATTTTTACTGATAAAAACCATATTTACTCCAGACTTCAATGCCTTAGATTCAGGCTGTAAAGCTCAGTAATACCCTACAAGTAAAAAATTTTTTTTAAAGATTTTATTATTTATCTTTAGAGGGAAGGGAAGGAGAGAGGAAGAGAAATATCAATGTATGGTTGCCTTTCATGCATTCCCCCACTGGGAACTGGCCTGCAACCCAGGCATGTGCCCTGACTGGGAATGGAACCGCTATCTCTTGGTTCGTAGGACTGAGCTACACCAGCCAGGGCTAACATTTATTTATTTATTTATTTATTTTATTTTATTTTTATTAAAAAATTTTTTTTATTGATTATGCTGTTACAGTTGTTCTATTCCCCCTTTCATTCCCCTCCACCCTACCCCCCATCCCCACCATTACCCCCCCTTTAGTTTATGATCATGTGTCTCAAGTTCTTTAGATTCTATATTTCCCATGCTATTCTTGTCCCCCCATCTATTTTCTATCTACTGTCTATGCTACTTATTTTCTGTACCTTCTCCCCCCTTCTCCTCCTCCCACTCCCCTGTTGCTAACCCTCCTTGAGATCTTCATTTCTATGTTTCCACTCCTGATCTAGCTGTCCTTTTAGTTTGCTTTTGCTTTAGGTGTGGTTCTTAATAACTGTGAGTTTGCTGTCCTTTCACTGTTCATGTTTCTTTAACTTCTTTTTCTTAGATAAGTCCCTTTAACATTTTATATAATAAGGGCTTGGTGATGATGAACTCCTTGAATTTGATCTTATCTGAGAAGCACTTTATCTGTCCTTCCATTCTAAATGAAAGTTTTGCTGGATAGAGCAATCTTGGTTGTAGGTCTTTGGATTTCATGACTTGGAATACTTCTTTCCAGCCCCTTCTTGCCTGTAAAATGTCTTTTGAGAAATCCGCTGACAGTGGTGGGGACTCCTTTGTAGGTGACTGTCCCCTTAGCTCTTGCTGCTTCTAGGATTCTCTCCTTCATTTTAATTTTGGCTAATGTAATGATGATGTGCCTTGGTGTGTTCCTTCTTGGGTCCAACTTCTTTGGTACTCTCTGAGCTTCCTGGATTTCCTGGAAGTCTATTTCCTTTGCCAGATTGGGGAAATTCTCCTTTATTATTTGTTCAAATAAGTTTTCCATTGGTGGCTGTGCCTTTCCCCCTCTGGTACCCCTATAATTTGGATGTTGGAGCGTTTAAAGATGTCCTGGAGGTTCCTAAGACTCTCCTCATTTCTTTGAATTCTTGCTTCTTGACTGTTTTCTGTTTGGCCATTATTTGCTTTCTTCTGGTCCACTCCATTGATTTGAGTCCCAGTTTCCTTTTCATTGCTATTGGTGTCCTGTGCAATTCCATTCATTTCAATTAGTTTCGCCTTCATATATTTGTCTAATTTGTCGGTATAATCAATCAGTTCTGTGAGGATCCTGATGACCAGTGTTTTAAACTGTGCGCCTGAGAGTTTTGCTATTTCTTCATCGCTTAGATCTATGGGCTCTGGGGCTTTGAGATCTTCTTGCGACATTTTTGGTCTGTTCGCGCCCTTTAAGTGTGAGAAGCGGAGCCTTGGACTCCCAGGTCACTGGGTTGTGACGCTGTATGTGGGGGCGTGGTCAGAGCGGGGAAATGGCGACCCCCTCTGCTGTTTCTCACAGCTGGGTGAGGATCAGCGCCTTAGGTGGTTCACCTGGGCCGGGCCACTCAGAGTCGCTGGGTTATGACGCTGTATGTGGAGGTGGGGTCAGAGCAGGGAAATGGCGGCGCCCTCCACTGCCGCTTGCGGCGGGGACCCACCCGGCCCCGGTCCAACCGCCCACTCCCTCGCCTGTCCGCCCGCGCACAAATGCGCGACCACAGTCAACACACAGCACCGCTCCCCCGCTGTCTCCCCCGAGGTCACTCGCCTGGTAGCTCGCTTGGTCGCTCACTAGGTCCAACCCTGCGCCTGGATTCTGCGCATATGGATTCCGCGCGCCTGAGTCCGTCCGACCGAGTTTTCCTGTGCAACCCCGCTTTACCAGCCGCTGGTTTTGCCCCTCTTACCAGTCAGGCTGAAGAATTTGTTGTTAACGGACTTCCGAAAAGTTCAATTTTCTGTGTTCTGGCTGTGTTTTCTGTTGCTAATATTTAGTTGTCTCTAAACTTGGTTGTGTGAGAAGGCACGGCACATCCACTTATGCCTCCATCTTGGCGGAAGTCTCCCAGGGCTAACATTTAAAAAAAATTATTTATTTATTTATTTATTTTTAGAGAGGGGGGAAGGAAGGGAGAAAGAAAGGGAGGGAAATATTAATATGTGTGAGGTACATTAATTGGTTGCTTCTCATATGCCCCCATCTGGGGACCTGGCCTGCAACCCAGGCATGTGCCCTGTGACTGGGAATCGAATTGACCTCGTGACTTTTGGTTTGCAGGCTGGCAGGCACTTAGTCCACTGAGCCACACTAGCCAGGGCATAAAACTTATGCCCTTAATTCAGAAGAAGTTGAAGATATGACGAGATTGAAGGTTGAAATAGATCTGCTTATTAGTACAATCTTTGAAAGCAGGACTCCTGTTCAAAGGCCTTGAGTTTATTATTTTTTTCTCACCAGTTTGTTTCCCAGGCGGTGTGCATTGGATTTCGGTTGGGAAACAAGACAAATCTGGTCTTCTGATGAAACTACAGAACCTTTGTACACGATTGGATCAGGACGAGAGTTTCTCCCACAGGCTTCCACTTAATATTGAAGAGGCTAAAGACCGTCTCCGCATTCTGATGCTGCGCAAACACCCAAGGTACAGATGGTCGGATTTAGTTGGCATATGAAGTCCCAATGAGCCCTAACTCCTGAAACCTTGAGAGCATCATACCCTTTTGTCACTGTTCAGTAGAGGGTGTAAGAATAAACCATTGCATTCTCGCTCGTATTAAAAAAAAGGGGCTTCCACTGGCCTAAAACTGCTGCTCTTCTCTTTGCCTCTTACCTACCCCATCACCTCTTATGCACCATTGTAGGCTCGTAAGAAATGCGGCAAGTAGGTGAGTGATCTTTGGTAGAAGATGCAAGCTATTACCTTGAATCCACTGTTTCTAATGGATTAACATGGAACAAGAGAGATTAAATATAGGCAACTAGTGAAAGACAGAGTCAGGAAGGCTTTTTCATTTACTGGGTTCCTTCTATTGTGTTGTCTTAGTTTTTAGATATACATGTAACTCTTCTATTTCAATGTACTTTGATTTGTTTTATTTGTTTATTTCATTAATTTATTCAATGAATACTGATCCAATTCTGTGCCAGGCTCTGTTACCAGCTGTTTCACAATTTCCACTAAGCTCAATGGGAGACAGCAGCTTAGTTGCTGCTTGTGTTAAGGGTATAATCGGGGATTCAGTCAGTACTTTGATTTCCACGATGTAGCGGCCATTGTTTTCACTTGCTCATTTAAGTAGCAATGGGTGTTGGGTGTCAGTGCTGCAAGCACAACGATGAGTATAGCGTCCCTTGGGAGTGTAACAATAAATTGGGCAAGAATTAGATGATTTCACTGCTGCGCCCTGGTGATTGGTATGGGGATTCATATCAGAACATCGAGTGAGAGGAGGACTTTTTGGGAAAAGCCTCCTTTAGATGATTATGATGGGTGCTCACTATAGAGGGAAGCTCCCCTTTCTCTGGTGGTCCTGTCCTCTGAACCCCTCCATCATCTCCCCTTCCCCTAGGGAGTCACTGGTATCCATTTTCCTGGAGGAAGTAGAATTGAGACTGCTAACCATTCTCCTTTTTCTTGCTCAGTAACTTCTCCCTAATCCAACTTCCCTTCTTTGCAAAATAAAAGCGATTTCTGTTTAGCAAAATACTGTAACCACTCTCATATATCAAACCATGGCTTACAATGCCAGTCATTTTTGGTTTGTACTTTTGCAATGTTCCAACCTGTGTATGTGCCTAGAGTCTTTTTTGGTCGTGTTCAGAAGTAGTGTGGCATTAGGTGAAAACACTAGTATGTAATTATGCTGTCAGGTTTTAGTTGTATTTTTTTCTCATTTGTTCTGGTAAGTTTTAAAAAGGTTTTGGAGAGACCAGTCAGGAATTGATACAGAGATTTTTTCCATCATTTATAAACTGATTTCTTGGGTGGAAAACACCCCATGAGTATATCAAATGAAAAGTAATATTGCCAGTGCATTCTTTTAGGTCAAAACATGAAATTTTTAGTTTTGTGGGTAAATATGGTTAAAATCATCATTGTTCTATGATTCATTCTAATGCTAACCTCAGCCCAGTTCTCATTTGGTTTTGGTGCTTAATGACCGAATTGCAAAAACATCTCATTACATGGATAGACTCCAGGTGGCTGATTTCTGATACTTCTAGCCCTCTTTTTATAGTCCTTTAACTTTAGTATGCATTGATTTCAGGTGGGAGGGATGCTCATTTTTCTTTTTTTTGGGGATCAATATACAGGGGTGGGCAAAAGCAGGTTTACAGCTGTGAGTATGCTGTGAGTATGTGAGTATTATGAAATGTATATAGCAAAGAAAAGAGGAAATTAAAAAACCAGTGGTGGCATTCTCTTTTTTAATATTTTTTAAAGGAAGCTTAAAATAAATGTCATTGGTGACTCAATACAGTTCTTTTAATTAGGTCTCTGTTGATCTTGGATGATGTTTGGGATCCTTGGGTGTTAAAAGCTTTTGACAATCAGTGTCAGATTCTTCTTACAACCAGAGACAAGAGTGTTACAGATTCAGTGATGGGTAAGGATTATTAATTTACTTTTTTGTACCTTTATGTTTTAACTCAGTTACATGTAAGTATGTGGCATACTGAATTACTTACAATATCTTACGATTTTGCAGGTCCTAAATATGTCGTTCCTGTGGAGAGTGGCTTAGGAAAAGAAAAAGGACTTGAAATTTTATCCCTTTTTGTTAATATGAAGAAATCAGATTTGCCAGAACAAGCACATAGTATTATAAAAGAATGTAAAGGTATAGTTATTTATTTTGTGTGTGAGGGGGTTATAATGATGTTAATTTATCCTGTTGTAAATTAAGTTAATGAATATGGCAGTTTAGCATATGAATATCCAAAAAGCTTGCTAGAATACTTTGCTAGTATTCTAGGTTGTTCTCTGATACCGTAAATGTAAAGTAGTATTTGGTATTCATTCATGAAGGTAATGTTAAACGAATACCCTCACCATGTTAACATGAAGGCATGGCCTCTGCCGTCAAAGAGTAAAAAATGTGGTGAGAGTATTCCATTTTTTTGGTTGGGATTCTATAAAACTAGTATTCTAATTTGATAAGTAAAAGTTGGTTTTGTCTTAATTTGCATTTTTTACTAGTAAAGTTAAACTTTTTACTTATTTAATTCTTGCATTTTGAGACATTATCCTTGACTCACTTCCCTTTTGTGGTGTAAGTATCTTTAGTTGACTTTTAGGTACTCTATTGAAGCTGTTAGCCATTTTTCATTATTTTCAAATATTTTCCCCCAGTTTTTTATCTGCTTTTAAATTTCATATGCAGTCTTTCTGGAATACAGAAATTTAAACTTTTTATGCAGTCAAATCTATCAGCAGTTAAGATTACTTTTTTCGTTGTTGTTAATGCACATGGAAAAACCTTTTTTTCCTTTCTGCTATCAAGTAGATACTTGGTTTTGAGTTAATTGTCTTTTTAAAAAAATCGTAAACTTAGAGAAAATGCTTACTGTATTTTTTGGACTATAAGATGCATCGTCCCCCCCAAATTTGGGAGGAATAATGGTTGTTAATGTTGCTGTTGGGTTCTATTTACATTTACATTGGTGAAATATTATGTTAGTTATGTTATTAAATATTTTACCACATTTTTTTGCTTCAAAAATTTTTTCCTATTTTCCTCTAGAACCTAGGTGTGTCTTATCATCTAAAAAATAAGGTAATTTGTATTCATTATAAAGATGATGCATATCCGTACTATAAAGAAAAAATAGAAACTACTCATAATCTGATAATTAATTATTAGTATCATGAGAGTATTTCTTCCAGTCTTTTAGGACATATAAAACTTTGGAAAAAAATTGAGATTATAATGTGATATACATAATTTAAAATCTTGTCCTTTTCATGCAAGTCTTGACTATTTTCCCATGCCATTAAATGTCGTTTGAAAAAAGTTGACCAAGGGCATAATATTGTGATATACATTAATCCAGTCATTTCTATTATTGTTTAAGATTTTTCATTATTTTAAATCTGTGATGAATATCCATAAATGAAATATTTCTTATTTCTAATGGTTTCCTTAAAATAAATATTTTAAGGCTCTGGGAACCATGCAGCAATAAATTACCTCTTAACTTAGAGGTAATTCTGAAATGAGACAATGTTAACACATTGACTTTGTTTGGTTCTTCAGGTTCTCCTCTTGTAGTGTCTTTAATTGGTGCTCTTTTACGTGACTTTCCCAACCGCTGGGAGTACTACCTCAGGCAACTTCAGAATAAGCAGTTTAAGAGGATAAGGAAATCTTCATCTTATGATTATGAGGCCCTGGATGAAGCCATGTCTATAAGTGTTGACATGCTCAGAGAAGATATCAAAGATTATTACACAGATCTCTCCATCTTTCAGAAGGATGTTAAGGTGCCTACAAAGGTAATAGAAGGACCAAGAATCCTCATCCCTGGGTATTTATGGCCTGTACCTTTAATAAAGTGTCAAGAATATTTTTACGGAGGAAATGGGAAGATAAGACCCGTGTGACTGAGGTGTTGGGATGGAAGGTCCCACTGCTCTCAGTCTCCATCAAGGGCTTGATGGAGAACTGGGGATGAGTTACCTGTTTCTCGGTGGCTCTAAGTGAAGCTAGGAAGCATCCAACTTCTTTCTCTCTCTATTCTGTTCTATCTTGGGGAATGATTGAGCTCCTTCTTATGAAATAGAGATTCTTGTTCAGGGCTTTGAGATAAAATTTTTTGGTGTGTGTTAACAACACCTTGTCTGCAGTCCTGGTCAGTGTACGTCTGTGGCACATTAAATGCTTAAAATGATTCCTAGGTGTTATGTGTCCTCTGGGACATGGAGACTGAAGAAGTTGAAGACATACTGCAGGAGTTTGTTAATAAGTCCCTCTTATTCTGTGATCGGAATGGAAAATCATTTTGGTATTATTTGCACGATCTTCAAGTTGATTTCCTTACAGAGAAGAACCGCACCCAGCTTCAGGTACTTGTACCTCTGTACACTCTCTCTCTCTCTTTCTTATAAAACTCTATTTTGAAGTTAATTTTAGACACAGAAAAGTTGTAAAATAGTACAGTTTCCGTGCCTCTACCTTTCACTCAGCTCCCCCCAGTGTCAACGTCGTATGTAACTGCAATGCGACGAGTCTACAGACTTTGACGTTTGCCGCCTTTCCCACTGGTGTTTTTTTTGTGGTCCAAATCCAATTCAGGATTCCATATTGCATATACTTGTCATGTTTCCTTAGTTTCCTCAACTCTGAAAATTCCTCAGCTTTCATGATCTTTCATGGTCACTTTTGACCTGTTGACCTAGCTGGTTATTTTGTACAGCGTCCCTTAGTTTGGGTTCACCTGATATTTTTCTCCTGACTAGATCAAGGTTATATAATTTTGGCAAGGATACCAAAGAAATAATGTTGTATTGTTCTCAGTGCATCATATCAGGGTGTTGATATATATTATCAGTGATGTTACCATTGATCACTTGGTTAAAATGATATCTAGCATTATCTTTACTGTAAAGTTGCTATTTTTTCCTTTTGATATAGGTTTGTTGCTGGGAGATTCTATGTACATTCTTAAATAGCTTTGGAAGCTGGAGTTACTGTACTGTTTAGGTTATGAAATTGTTCCTCTCCTCTGAAACGTACCATCTGGGTTTCAGGATCTACACAAGAAGATAATCACTCAGTTCCAGAGATACCACCAGCCACGCACTCTCTCGTTAGAGCAGGAGGACTGCATGTACTGGTACAATTATCTGGCCTATCACATGGCTAGTGCCAATATGCACAAAGTAAGACGACCCGTTTAAAAATTAACTTGTTTTATCTCACTTTTATTTAGTTCTGTTTAGAAATTTTTATTAGGAAAAAATAGAATTACAGCCTATGTATTTTTGGTTTTGTTAATATTTTTACCTGCAGTGATTTAATAAGGTACCTTAAAACCTTTTAACTGCAATAAATGAACCACCTGAAGATTCACTGTGTTCTCACCAGCAGCTTTTCTTTGTAGGCAGTGTGAGTTTGTTTTTGAGTGTAGAGAGGAAAGTATATTCATTCATTCAACAAATATGTATTGAGTGCTTGTTATGAACTGGCATTGTTATTCATTACGAGGATGCTATAGCCACGAAGTCCCACCTGTCATTGAACTTACATTTTGTGGGGGAGACTGACAGTGGACAAATAAATTCACACTATGCCAGGGGGTAGTAAGTGCTCAGAAGAAGAAAAAAGCATGGAAGGATAAAGAGAGCGATGTATGGGAGTAGAATCATGATTTGCTGATGTATTTGACATGCATTACAAGAGAAGAGTCAAAGATGACTTGAGGCTCGTGCAGAGGAAGGGTTAGAGTTGCTATGTCTGTGGGTAGAACAAGTATTTTTTTGGGGATGGGGAGAAGGTTAGGAACTCATTTTAAGTATAAGTCTGATACACATTAAAACATTTAACTAGAAGTATTGAGCATTTAGTTGGACATATAAATGTAGATTTCTGGAGATTAGGCACTAAAGATAACATTTGGGAATTATTAACACGTAGATGATATTTGAAGTCATAACTACCAACTACCAGAAGTGTAGTTGGTAGTTAAAATTTTGAAAAACCGTATGTACTTTGAATAATTTCTCTATATTTAGGTACATTATTTCTTGGTTACAAAAATGGTGTTGTAGCCTGTTTAATAATACACTTAATGTTTAATAATCTATATTGGAGTGAAGATATTCCAAAAATATCAGCGCCTTAATTTATTTACTAAACTGTAATTGTTGAATATTTAGGTTGTTTTCTGTCTTTTTGACCTTATGATGCTGTAATGAATATTCTTGGTTATCTTTATACCTATATTATTTTTTTGAAATTCCTTGAAGTGGAATTAATGGGTGCATGCATTAAAAAAAAAAACAAGTAGAAAAAAACCAAACTTTTGATACGCGTGATAGTGTGGCAGGATTCAGTTTCCTCTCACTTTTTAAGTCTTTTTTCCCCTGATAGTTAAAGATAATGATTTATTTTCATTGGAAAAATTTAGAAAAACTAAAATAAGCAAATGAAGGTCACAATTAGCAACAGTTAATGCTTTTGTGGATACTTTTCTAGATCATTTTGTTGCTCCTATATACACACTTGTCCTCTAAAACCAAAATAGGATCATAATACCATTGAAATCATCTTATATCTTGTATTTTTCCATTTAATGGTATTTCATGGTTATCTTTTTATGTCAGTTTATATAGAGCAACATAGTTTTTAAAGCTGCATACTATTTCATTGTGTAGCTACATTATGATTAACCAGTTGGTCATGAACAGTTAGATCGAAGTGTCATCTCTGGGTCAAATGGTGCATACAGTTGGAATGTTAATACAGATTGTCAAACTGTCCTCCAGAAGGGTTCCTTTGATTTATATCACTGCCAGTATGAGAGTGTTCATTTCCTCTGACTCCAGCCAATATTTTTATCATTTCTTCTTAAAAAATCTGATATTAAAAAATAGTAAATCTTACTGTTTCACTTTGATCGCAGGTATGGTTTTTGGCCATTTGTACTTTTATTTTGTGAATTGGTTCTCATCCACTGCCTTTATCTATTCTTACATTGGGGTGTATATCTTCCTGTTTTTTTTAAGTATTTTCTATAAAAATGAATAGTAAGCATTGTTCATTTTTATTGTAACAATATTATCATCTATCATACCTGCTATGAAATTTTTTTCCTGGTTTCTTTTTTGCCTTAAATTTTATTTAGATTGGTTCCTACTGTAATGAAGATTTTAGTTTTTATGTTGTTTAATACACCACTATTTTTCTTTTTTTTGATTTTCTTTAAGGATTTTATTTATTTTTAGAGAGAGGGGAAGGAAGAGAGAAAGAGAAGGAGAGAAACATGGATGTGTGAGAGATATATTGATTGGTTGCCTCTTGTAAACGGGGACCTGGCCTGCAACGCAGGCCTGTGCCCCGACTGGGAATCAAAGCAGCGACCTTTTGGTTTTCAGGCTGCACTCAATCCACTGAACCACACCAGCCAGGGCTATTTTTCTTTTTGGTATTTTGCTTTGGTGTCATGTTTACAAACATTTCCTTCACCTCAAGCTTACAGAAATGCCTTAACTTCTAGAATTTTTTGAAGTTATTGATTTTATACTTAAATCTTTAATCCAACTAAAATTTACCTTGAGCTAAGGTGTGAGGTCCATTTTATGTTGCTTTGGAACTATTTGTATGTTCCTTTTTGTCCTTCAATTTGAGTTGTCTGCCAAGTTTCTCCCAGTAGTGATGGTAGACTTAAAATATTTTGATCTCTGTAACAGTCCTGATCTTATTTATTTATGTATTTTTAAAAAGGAACTTCGTGCTTTAATGTTTTCCCTGGATTGGATTACAGCAAAAACGGAACTCGTAGGCCCTGCTCATCTGATTCATGAATTTGTGGAATACCGGCATATACTGGATGAAAAGGTATATATTCATCTGAAAAATAAGTCCTGCAAGGACATGCTTTTTTGACATTTATTTCTAGGTTTAATAGTGGGGATGAGCAGAAGAGGCGAAGAGAGATGATTTTCTTCTTTCGACCTTTGATTATTCTAATTATTTTGTTTCCTGGCCTACTGGGAATGTGAATAGGATTGAAGTTTGAAAGTTGAAGTAAAGTGTTCAAGTATTTTTTAAAAACAATGTGTTAATAAATTAATACTTTGATAATAAGGTTTTTATCCTATGTTTAAAGTTTGAAGAGGGTCACTCTATATTTGTTACCTAAGTGGTTGGTTATTCAATTTTAGCTCATACAGAGACTATCTCATTTAAGCCTTTAAAGTAACAAGATCACAGAAACAGAAAAATGTCAGATCTTGGCTCTGCTTATGTTTCTAAGAGATTTCAGTTTGTCCGTAGGACTGTGCCGTCTGTGAGAATTTCCAGGAGTTTTTATCTTTAAACGGACATCTTCTTGGACGACAACCATTTCCTAATATTGTACAGCTGGGTCTCTGTGAACCGGAAACTTCAGAAGTGTATCAGCAAGCTAAGCTGCAGGCCAAGCAGGAGGTCGATAATGGAATGCTTTACCTGGAGTGGACGTAAGTAGGTTAGGAGAGACCAAAGGGAGCACTGTTCTGACTGTATCATTATTTTTTCAGGAGTGAGTAAGTTCACTCCAGGAAGATTTAGCTACAGTTCTTTGGAAAAGGCTGGGACTTTTAATAAGCATTCTTACTTATCAAAAAGTTTTAGAGAAGTAAGAGAAATATACATGTTTCAAGGGTCCATAGAAAACAGATGATTGCCTGTATGGCATTTTGACAAGTCATTCTAAATATTAACACCAAATGCTTTACCTATTATAATAAATGAGTAAGTGGTGAAGAGTGTGGCCTTTGAAGCCACAAACCTGTATTTGAGACTCAGTTCTGAAACCTGACAGTTTTGTAATTTTGAACAAGTGACAGGTTCCTCTCTTTTCTCTTACGTAAAGTAGAGGTAACAGTCCTTTGAGGCACGTACTATTTTGTGAAGATTAAATGAGATATTGGATATAAAGCAGTTAGCACATTGTCTTGCACATGGCCCTCATTGAACTTCCCCTGGGTTCTGATCCTTCTGACTCCTTAAAGAGGCCGTCCAGTTTAGCTTTTACCTTAATCTTACCAATTACTAAAAGGGGAGCTAAGCTACCATCTTTTTAATGCCTGTTGTGTACATAATAGGCTGACATGTTACTTATTTTGTCTTCAAAACAACCTTGTAAGGTAAATGTCACTTGCCCTGTTTTACACATGAGAAAATTGACACATGAGAAAACTGGGGCACAGAGAGGTGGAAACTTGATTAAGCTCATGCGGCCTGAAAGGGATTTAAACCCCAGGTCAGTGGAGCTTCGTTTCCCACGTTCTTTCTGTGTGCCATGCTACTATTTTTCCTTTTCTCTCCCGACCCCCCCGTGCTACTCTTTTTATTTTATTTATTTATTTATTTTCAGAGAGAGGGGAAGGGAAGGAGAAAGAGAGGGAGAGAAACATCAATGTGTGGTTGCCTCTCATGTGTCCCCCACTGGGAACTGGCCTGCAACCCAGGCATGTGCCCTGACTGGGAATTGAACCTCAATCGCATGGTTCGCAGGCCCGCGCTCAATCCACTGAGCTATACCAGCCAGGGCTCTTTTTATTTTTTTTTAAGATTTTATTTATTTTAGGAGAGTGGCAAAGGGAGGGAGAAAAAGAGGGAGAGAAAAACATCAATGTGCAAGAGATATGTCCATCCATTTGCCTCTTGCAATCCCCTAAGCGGGGACCTGGTCTGCAACCCAGGCATGTGCCCCGACTGGGCATCAAACCAGTGACCTTTTGCTTCATAGACCAGTGCTCAGTCCACTGACCCACACCAGCCGGGGCCCCCAGGCTACTCTTACAGCTGGAAATAAGTGAGAATGGGTGTCTTTTCACAAGTATAATTTATATCTGCATTGAACTTTAGGTTGATGTCAGTGATCTCTAAAGCTCTGTCTCTCCCTTTTGAAATAAGTCAGGTTGCTATGGCTGATTCCCCTAATTTAGTTTACTTCACCAAACGTTTGGATTTCTCTAATGTGCTAAGTAAGCATTACTACTAAGTGCTAAGGCTCCTTTTTGCTCAATCCCTCCACCCTTCCTTTTAAAAAAAATATTTTATTATTTTTAGAGAGGGGGGAAGGGAGGGAGGAAGAGAGGAAGAGAGGAAGAGAAACATCGATGTGAGAGAGAGACATTGGTTAATTGCCCCTTGCACAGGCCCCAACCAGGGCGAAACCTGCAGCCCAAGCATGTGTTCTGACCCAGGATCGGACCAGCCGTCCTTTGCTCTGTGTGATGAAACCCAACCAAACTGAACCACACTGGTCAGGGCAAGGAAAGAGTTTCTTAAAAAACTTTTGTTTAAAGTTAAAATTTAATTTTTTTGTTTATTCTATTTTTATTTAAAAATAATCCATGTTCCTGAGTTTTAAAAAATCAATCAAAAACTTTTCAATATTAGAGGAATGTAAAATGAAAAGTCGAAGACTACTCAGCTTACCTCGCCTTCCAACTTCTCAGAGTTAACCACTCTTGAACACTTTCGGTGGGAGAGGTTTTACTTTCCCTGGAAGCAGCCCCTAACTCACTGAGGCTGGGTTAGATCTGTCTAGAGTCTAGAAGACTTGTTACCCATATGATAGCATGGTCTCCGTTTATGGTAACTGTCCTGTTGACTTGCTTGTGTCCCATAAAAGTCCATGCGTTCTGAAGTATAGAATTATGTGGAGGTTAAAATAACAGGCTGGCTCTAGACTGCCTGGGCTTGAATCCCACTTCTGATATTTATTAGTTGTGTGTAACTAGGGAAAGTTATTTAGCTTCCCTCACCTACTAGTACTATTTCATCGCATTGTCATGAGGATTAAATAACATTGTGTGTATACAAACATGCACACATATGTAGTGTGCCTAGAATAGTACCTAGGTCATAGGAAGTGCTCAGTAAAAGTTGTTGTCATTAAGAATGTCATTTTGCCTATTCTAGAGAATACTGTATAGTTAGTATTCTCTAGAAATTTGTGGGAGATTGATGGAATTCATGTTTTAATCAGTGGCTGAAATAGAATTTTAATACTTGATAATAAATGGGCAAAGTTTTCTTTTATAAGTTATTGTTTATTATTTTTACTTTTTTATGCTGTTTATTTTTTTCCATTCTATCACAACTTCATTTCAATCTGTGATTGTCTTTCATAGAATAGTCATTTTTTTAGCTGTATTTTTTTAACTGGGTTTGACCAACTTGTATTCAAAGAATGCTTTTTCCCCAGACCTGGAAAGCCCTTTTTTTTTTTAAAGAAAGATTTTTGGTTGGAATAAGCTTAATTTAACCGAGTTTCAGCTTTGAAAGAAATTATGTTTTTATGAATTCATTTGTTATTGAATACATTTTGGGCATCTACTCTGCCCATCATGGATAGGTCACTTTCTGAGTTTTGTTTGGGGAATTGAGGAGATAAGTCAAGGGGAAAGAAAGAGTAGTTTCTTAATCTAATTCTCTACCTTTGCTAGTAACTTAACTTGTTTTCCTTCCAGGCTTTTATCACTCATTCTTGTATTATAGTTCTTTGTTTTATTACTTCCAGTAAAGTATAATACCTTCCAGATAAGGGTGAAGTCTGATTTACCATTGTGTTTCCTTTTTCTTTTGTTCTGTCTTATGAGTGGGTAATTTTTAAAATAATAACAACATTGACATCTATATGTGCCTGGCAGTATTTAAAGCAGATATCATTACTCCTATTTTACACATGAGGAAAGAAAACTTAGTAGGCTAATTCATTTGCTTAAGTTTACACACCTAATAAGTAGTAGAAGTGAGGTTGCTTTTTAAGTTTATCTGACTCCTAACCTTTGACTTTTTAAATTAAGCATGATACCATTTAATACATGTACTTGTACTCAAAGTGACTGACTGAAAATCTGACACAGTTAGATACTTCTCTCATTTTAAGTGTACTTTAGGGTCCTTTACCCTTTAGCCCACGAGAAATAATATTATATTTATACCTGTGGGACAGTTAACATTCAGTAGATTAAGTTACAAAGAAAATTAACATTCCTTTAGTTTTTTCTCTTTATGTGAAAATTACAGTTCGAGAAGAACAGTTATAAAGTATATCATCATAATGGGGGGTGTGGTGTCGTACTTTAGCTAGGAAATGAGCTTCATTTTGCTGGCTTCCTTTTTAAAAAATAGGGAGTTTTTTGAGAGTATTCTTATATAACGTTTTTTCTGCACATATTATTAAAGTATCAAAGGAAAAATACAAAGTGCATGTATCTGATTAACTAGATTTCTTCCAACTTAGTGACATTTATGACACATGACAGGTTTCTTGATATAGGGTAGCACTTTTCTTAAAATGTCGGTTTTGTTATATTATGCTTTTTTTCTTTACATGTAAAGGTAATTACATGTAATTACCAACACGTAAATGATCTGTGCGGTCATTTACATGTTGGTAATTTAAGAATTTTTTATTTTTGGAAATATAACTAAATTAAAAGACAGTTTATTACTGAAAGAATTGCTTTTGCTCTCATTTATTGGGTTTCTGTTCACTTTTTTCCTCATCCTTAGAAACAAAAAAACCATCAAGAATCTGTCACGCTTGGTTGTCCGCCCCCATACAGACACTGTTTACCATGCTTGCTTTTCTGCGGATGGTCACAGAATAGCTTCCTGTGGAGCCGATAAAACCTTACAGGTAACATCTCTGTCATGAGAAAAAGTGAAAAGGACATGTGCCCAATACCGTGCGTGTTAGAATATATTTAAATCCTAAAGTTCAAGTAAATTGCACATTAGAAATAGAGAACTTCAAATCTCTTGAACATTTTATGAAGGCTTTCTCTAAAGATTTTAAAGATATAGTTGTGTGTTTTCATAATTCTAAACTTACTAGGCAACATAGAAGTGCCTTTTACCCTGCTGGTCGGTTAGCATCACCCATGTGCCAGCTAAAGGTAATGAGGAAATGATAATTGTTGGAAGACATAGGACTTCCTGGCTCAGTGAACAGGGCTGTGACTAAAGCAAAGTAATTAAGTAGAATACCTGTTTTATTACCAGCTCAGGCATAGACTTCTGACAGTAAATGGAATTGGGCTAGGTTATTTCCTAAGGTGCTTGAAGGAATTTCCTGTAAGTTCTCATTTGCTTTCAGAAAATATGAATGAGCGCTTTTCTTTAAACTTGTGCTCTAACTTGGTTTTGAGGGTAATCAGGATCAAATTAGTTAAAACTTATAATTAGGATAGTTTTAGTCTTTGTAAGTTTATGACTATAACCCTTATTTCTATATGTGTGCTTTATTACTAACTTTATTAATTTTGGCCCTTTGAGCCCCAGAAAGAAATTATATTCCATGAAATATTTTCTATTTCATTGTTGAGAATTTGCCAAACTATTTTCAGGAACTAAAGCTATATACCCTGTTAGTTCATTTTATTACTATTATAAAATTTAACAATGGGTAGTTCTGTATTTATGTTAAAGCATGTGAATTGTGACTGAAATTCTAATTTTTGGAGTGATTTTGCCAAGGTTCACTTCTGTTGCAAAATAACAGTAGTTAAGAACTTTTAAGGAAAGATATTAATTGAGTAATGGTTTATGGTTAAGTGGTATATAGTAAAAAAGATTTTATTGTTGTTTGTATAGGTGTTCAAAGCTGAAACAGGAGAGAAACTTCTAGAAATCAAGGCTCATGAAGATGAAGTGCTTTGCTGTGCATTCTCTGCAGATGGCAAATTTATAGCAACCTGTTCAGGGGATAAAAAAGTGAAGGTAGGGAAACATTTTCCTCTTGAGTTGTAATCACCACAGAATTTGTTTTCTTTACCATAATAGAGGGAATAGGGTAAATAGGCTTCAAGGGTGCTTACCTGTTGATCCACTAACTTAGGCAAATCAGTTTTTCTTGATTATAAAATAACACTGTCTGAAAACTCCTTGTTTTTAAGCCCCAGCAAAAATATCTAGGTTGATTAGTTTGAGATATTTACTAGGCAGCTGGGAAAAACAATTACAAATTAATAAATTTGCCTGCCATCTGTCGACTGGTTCGTGGGTTACATATCAGTGGAAACCTTTGAGTGCACTGTGATTGGAAGTATTGCCACACAAAATTATTATCTGAGGTTGGATTCTATTGTAAAATATAAATTTCTGAAGTGCAGCCCAATTTTTTACCTTTATGAACTGGCTTATATTCAGTGCAAAACCAGATGGATGGACAAATTAATAATTAATTAGGTTACTAGTCTAAACAGTAAATAGAGAAAAAATATAGGGTAATTTTAAAAAAAGATTCTGTTTGTTTATTTTTCAACAGAGGGGAAGGGAGGAAGAAAGAGGGAGAGAAGCATCAATGTGTAGCTGCCTCTTGTGCACCCTTTACCAATGACCTGCCCACAACCCAGGCATGTGCCCTGACTGGGAATGGAACCAACAGCCCTTTGGTTTGCAGGCCGGTGCTCAATTCACTGAGCTACACCAGCCAGGGCAATGTAGGGTAATTTTTATCTTTGTTAATTTTTCTTTCATGTCTTTTATCCCTAAATTTGGCTTTTAGCCAGAGAATTTTGCAGAATTTAAGAGAAACTGAAGTCCAGGGTCATGTTTTATGAGATAAATGGAGGGGAGATTTCACTTCAGGCTTTTTACAAAGGGATAATGGAGTGCTAAACCTGGTGAGGTGGGGTGGGCCTTCATGGGCCTGGGGACAAGACAGCTAGCTTGGAAGTTTTCCTGGAGTTTGTACCCACTGGAAGAAGGCTCTGCAGTATCCAGACTAAATTGAGATCTTAGAAAAATCTACTCCTTGATATATTGGCTCCCTTACGTGATTTTACAAGCAACTAGTTAATTCACTCTATAGACTCTACTCTTTTGAGTGAGGCATGGAGCTGATCACTCTGAGCAGTTCCAAAGTCAAAGTTGTATGGATTAAAAGGAAATAATACTAAGTTTTTGTTTTCTAAGAATCCAAAATTTAAAGCAAGAGGCAGAAATTAAAAGAGCTTCAGAGTAAAGGAAACTCTCTGGACCTCTGGGGAGTGCTTTGACGAGATGAAAAGAAAGTGCTGTGGGGGGACACTAGAGCCTCTGAGAAACCCAGAGCCTAATCTCTGGGGAGATTTATTAGGTAATTTACTTCTTTCCTTTGTTGTTAGATGCAATAGACTGCTTAGTTAGTTGTCTTACCTAGTAATTAGATGGTGATTACTTTTTATCGTGAACTCAATACTGTAGGAGGCTTTATACTATATACTGTCTCATATTCACGTTATCAATTTCACACTATAATTTGTGAAATAATTATTGATCTCATTTTTCAAATGAAGAAATAGGTTCAGAGATGAAGTCATTTGCCCAAAGTCATACTAACTAATAACTAATGGAGGAAGGGTTGAAAGTTAGGTTTCCCTCAGAATCTAAAACCTTTTTTTCCATTGAGCCATCTGCCTTTACTTACTTATTTGGTACCCTGAAGTCAACAGAACTCTTAGCATGTCCTTTATCTCATTTGATACCATCTTATGTAGGACAGCTATGAGTATCCCCATTTTACAGAGGAGGGAACTGAGGTAAACTTAAGGGCTTGACCAAGGACACACAAGTTAAAAGTGGTACAGTCAGGTCTTAGATTTCCTCCTTCCCAGCTGAAGTTCAGTGTTCCATCCCCGTGTGGCATTTCTCTGCCTACTTTCATTCATGTGGACACCTGAAATCTTGCCCTTGAAGAATGTAATGTTCTCAGGAGATCCCAGTTATGCTATAGGAAGTTCACACACGTGTAGATTTGCAAGTAAAGTTTAAAAAAAATTTTGCCAAAATACTGAAATATTTTAGGGAAACCAAAGGTATTCATTAGCATCATGTTCAACTGGGAACATCTGGAAGACAAGATGGATGGCATCCACAAAGCATTTTCTTTGTTTTATGGAAAATAAGGGATAGTTGTAAATTTTGTTCTCTCTTCTCTTTAGATTTGGAATTCTGTGACCGGGCAACAAGTGCACAGCTATGATGAACACTCAGAGCAAGTCAACTGTTGCCACTTCACCCACAACAGTCATCCCCTTCTCTTAGCCACTGGGTCCAGTGACGGCGTCCTCAAAGTAAGTGTGGATCGTGGGAATTACATAGTTTTGTAGACACACCAGAACATCGCCTTTGGTTTTCTCATACATTGTATTCATCAGGGCTCTTCTGGTTGTATAATACAGACTTGCATATTAGCTTAGGCAACAACAACAACGAAGAAGATACTACTGACTCGTGTAACTGGAAAGACTCGGGGGAGTGTAGCTTTGGGCAGAGCTGATTCCAAATGCTTTAACTCTGTTCTCAGCCTTGAGTTCCCTCTCCAGGTCTAGACACTGCTTCCTTCTTTGTTGGTTTAGGCCTGTTCTCTCTGTGTGACAGGAAGTGTGGCTTTTCTCAGCTTGGCTTATATAGGCCTATTGCTCATACTCACAGAGGAAGAGAAACTTGCTCTTCCCCAGATCCTGTAGATTTAATTTCAGAGAAAACTCTAGTCGACCTGGTTTGGGTTATATACTCATTGCGAAATAACCCTACTGGTCAGGAGGATGGAATCCGTGGATGAACAAAGGGTTGCAAGTTTAGTCGTGTAGAAATCAGGCCGATGAGGGGAGGTCAGCTTCACTTGAATTGTAAGTGGGGTTTGATTCAGAAGAGAGATTTTGTTATCTGAAGAAGGAGGGGAAAAGGTGCAGGTAGGAAAAAAATGTAAAAAATAAAAAGAAAGCCAAAATCAAAAATAGATATTCATTTCGCATGTTTGATAATGCTTTATAATTTAAAATTATACAAGATTACCTTTTTTTCCACTTAAGTGGCATACTAAAGATGGTTAGATTAAACTTTTTTGGATCTCAGAAATATTTGCTAACTTCTTTTGGATTCTTTTTGGCCTGGTTTGTGCCCTTTATTTTTAAATGTCGCACCATTTTTGTAATGGGACGTTGCATATTATTTATTATAGAGCTGAGTAAAATATAATAATGACTCCAAACTACCTTTTGAAATATCAGCAATTGTTCAGTTATTTAGTGCTTAGACTAAAAGCCTAGGTGAGCCCCTGAGTCCCTCAGTAGATTGAGGTGCTGATTTAAGAGCTGCCCCATTACTTCTTAATCACAAGTTCACCTTTGTATTTGACATTGTTACGTTACTGTGAATTGAACATCTGCCTGTAACTGAAAAAGTTCAAATGAGAGGGAAGAAAGAACTTTACATTATTTTTAGCTTTTTCCCATTTAGTACTAGTTTTTTAGTTATCTTTTTATCTTTCTCAAACAGCTCTGGGATTTGAATCAAGAACCTTGTCGAAATACCTTGTTAGGCCATAACAATTCAGCCAATCACTGCAGATTTTCACCAGACGATAAGCTTTTGGCTAGTTGTTCAGCTGATGGGACATTAAAGGTATGCTTTTGTTTGTTATTAAAATAGGTTGTAATTTTATGGCCTTAGGATTGGATTATGAAATTAGGCTTCTGTTTTTCACATTTCTGCAGGAAGAGCTTCATCTTCCGGGAGCATATCCATGTAACTGTAGCTGCCTATTACAGTGATTGTTTACTAATGGTTTGCTACCTTATGCTTTTAAGTTCATCATTTTGAATTCTTAATTTTAAGCATGTATTTTATTTTATGACTTCATAAAATCTTTTGAGATCAATGAGGGTCCAATTTGTAAAGGTCTTGCTTTTTTCTTTTCTTTTAAAGATATTATTTTATTTTTTTGAGAGAGGGGAAGGAAGTGAGGGAGAGGAGCATCAATGTGTGGTTGCCTCTCATGTGCCCCCCCACTGGGGACCTGGCCCCTATCCCAGGCATGTGCCTTGACTGGGAATCAAACCAGTGACACTTTGATTTGTAGGCCGGCACTCAATCCACTGAGCTACACTAGCTGGGCAGGTCTTGCTTTTATTTATCATTTATTTGTTCTACCTTTTATGTTTTTATTTACCTGTTTTTGACAAGTCATATTGGGGAAAAACCCAGGGCTAGGGAAAAATGCTTATTTAAGCCCCCTGGAATTATAGTTCTAAGAAAGAAAACCCCTAAATACTTTCTCCTTAAATCTTTAAAAAAACATTTTTTAAAAAAATTTTTAGAAGGGTAGGGAGGGAGAGAGAGAAACATTGATCTGTTGTCTCTTATATGTGCCCTGGTGGGGGGTTAGAGGGGGACTGAACCTTCAACCTAGGCATGTTCCCTGACCAGGAATTGAACCCATGACCTTTTTGGTTTACTAAAAGACTCTAACCAACCGAGCCACACTGGCTAGGACTACTTAACCCTTTTTTTAGCCTGGTCCCATCTTCTCTGTATTCCTTGGGAGACTAAAATGCAGTTTTATTTTTAGTTGTCTTTTTTTTTCCCAGTTTTTCCATTTATTTTTTTAATTGATTATGCCATTACAGTTGTTCTATTACCCCCCTTCATTCCCCTCCACCCTACCCCCCGTCCCCACCATTACCCCCCTTTAGTTTGTGACCATGTGTCTCAAGTTCTTTAGATTCTATATTTCCCATGCTATTTTTGCCCCCCCCCCGTCTATGCTACTTATTTTCTGTACCTTCTCCCCTCTTCTCCTCCTCCTACTTCCCTGTTGCTAACCCTCCTTGAGATCTTCATTTCTATGTTTCCACTCCTGATCTAGTTGTCCTTTTAGTTTGCTTTTGTTTTAAGTGTAGTTGTTAATAACTGTGCGTTTGCTGTCCTTTCACTGTTCATCTTTTTTATCTTCTTTTTCTTAGGTAAGTCCCTTTAACATTTCATAGAATAAGGGCTTGGTGATGATGAACTCCTTGAATTTGATCTTATCTGAGAAGCACTTTATCTGTCCTTCCATTCTAAATGGAAGCTTTGCTGGATAGAGCAATCTTGGTTGTAGGTCTTTGGATTTCATGACTTGGAATACCTCTTTCCAGCCCCTTCTTGCCTGTAAGGTCTCTTTTGAGAAATCCGCTGACAGTCTGATGGGAACCTTTTTGTAGGTGACTGTCCCCTTATCTGCTTCTAGGATTCTCTCCTTCATTTTAATCTTGGTTAATGTAATGATGTGCCTTGGTGTGTTCCTTCTTGGGTCCAACTTCTTTGGTACTCTCTGAGCTTCCTGGATTTCCTGGAAGTCTATTTCCTTTGCCAGATTGGGGAAATTCTCCTTTATTATTTGTTCAAATAAGTTTTCCACTGGTGGCTGTGCCTTTCCCCCTTCTGGTACCCCTATAATTTGGATGTTGGAGCGTTTAAAGATGTCCTGGAGGTTCCTAAGACTCTCCTCGTTTTTTTTGAATTCTTGCTTCTTGACTCTTTTCTGTTTGGCTATTATTTGCTTTCTTCTGGTCCACTCCATTGATTTGAGTCCCAGTTTCCTTTTCATCGCTATTGGTGTCCTGTGCAATTCCATTCATTTCAATTAGTTTCGCCTTCATATGTTTGTCTAATTTGTGGCTATAATCAACCAGTTCTGTGAGGATCCTGATCACCAGTGTTTTAAACTGTGCATCTGAGAGTTTTGCTATTTTTTCATCGCTTAGATTTATAGGCTCTGGGGCTTTGAGATCTTCTTGAGCCATTTTTGGTCTGTTCACACCTGTTAAATATGAGGAGCGGAGCCTTGGACTCCCAGGTCGCTGGGTTGTGACGCTGTATGTGGGGGCATGGTCAGAGCAGGGAAATGGCAGCCCCCTCTGCTGTTTCTCATCGCTGGGTGAGGAGCAGAGCCTTAGATGGTTCACCAGGGTGGGGCCACTCAGTGTCTCTGGGTTATGACGCTGTACGTGGAGGCGGGGTCAGAGCGGGGAAATGGCGGTACCCTCTGCTGCTGCTCACTGCTGGGGCCTGCTGGGTTCCGTCTAACCGCCCACTCCCTCTCTGGTCTATCTGCGCACAAATGTGCGACCACAGTCAAATCTCGGCCCTGCTCCCTCGCTGGTTCCTCGAGGTCGCTCGCTGGGTCGCTCACTAGGTCCACCCGTTGCAACCCCACACCTGGGATCCGCGCACCCGAGTCTGTCTGATGGCGTTTTCCTGTGCAACCCCGCTCCGCCAGCTGCTGGTTTCGCCCCTGTTACCGGTCAGGCTGAAGAATTTGTTGTTATCAGACTTCTGAAAAGTTCAATTTTCTGTGTTCTGGATGTGTTTTCTGTTTTTAATATTTAGTTGTCTCTAAACTTGGTTGTGTGAGAAAGCAAGGCGTCTCCACCTATGCCTCCATCTTGGCGGAAGTGAGTCGCCTTTTTTTTTTTTTTTTTAGTCTATTGTTCTTTGGATTTGTGTACAATCTTTGTGAATTTGTGTACAGTCTTTATTCTTTTTGTTTTATCACCTGTTTTCATCCTCCCCATTGACCACTGGTATTTTATTTTTGAAACTGTTGTTTGACGTCAGTGTTTCTTCTTTCCCTTTTATCTCTCTAACCCCTTCTTTACCTCTTTTTCCTGCCCACCGAAATAGAGCTGTTCCTCTAACATGTAACACTGACAGCCACTTCCAGCACCTGCCTTCCCTCCCAGTTCATCCAGTCTCATGGCTTCAGCTCTCGTCTCTTCTGTGAGTGACTTTTGGATGATTATCTCCAGCCCTCGTTTCTCTTGTGTGCTGTGTCCGGATCCCTAACCACCTGCTGCTCGTTATCTCTTAAGTAAAACTCCTTGCTTCATACTTTCTGTACTCCAAACTGAACTAATTGTTTTTTTTCTCTCTAAACCTGACCCACTTTTTATGGCTTCTGTGTATTTCAGGATTTTGATCAGAGTTTGAGACTTATGCCATTCTGACTGAGCACAGTTGAGCCATGTAACGTATGATAAATATTTTTTCCTTTGTCATACAACGTTTTGTTTTCTTTGTGAGTCAATGTGTAGTACATTTAACATTGTAGTTTTGTTTTTTTGTTTGCTTATTTTTTATATGTGCTTATCTAGACTAGTGTCTTCAAACTATCCCTTGTCTAAATTACTTCTTATATCATTCAAACTTACCAGGTATTTGTTAGAAATAACTTTCTTGGAGGGTTTGGTCTTGCTCCATTCTGATTGGTAATACTGTGCCCAGTGCCCAGCTGTCCTTCTGGGGTCTCCCTTTACTCTCCCGGGAATTCCTTTTGTTTTTCTCTTTAGTTGAAACCCCTTTTCCTGGATTCCTTGTCTTAGTTTATTTTCTCATCTTGGTGGAGAACTCCTCTATCTTCCTAAGAAAGAATCTTTTGTTTGGAAGGTCAATTTTAAAGACCTTGCCTATCTTAAAGTGTCTTTTTCTAGCTTCATACTTAATTGATATTTTTGACTGCATATAAAATTCTATGTGTTGGAAAGAATTTTTCCTTAGAATTTTGGGGACATTGCTCCTTTGTATCTAGGTTCCACAGTTGCTCTTGATAACATTTGAAGCCATTCTGATTCATATGAGATCTGTTTTCCTGTACTGGAACTTTTAAGATCTCTTTGACTCCAGTATTTTTCCTCTTTAAACTGCTATGACAAGGTGCGTGGTTTAGGTTCGTCTTCATGTGTTGTGCTTGGTACTTGGTGGCTTCTTTCAATTGGGAAACTCCAGTTCTGGAGATTTCCTCTAAATTATTTGATTTATTATTTTCTACTTTCTCTTCTGGGAGTACCTGTTTGTTTTGGATGTTTTCTTATTTTTTTCCTCTTTTCTTCTTTGTATGATTGTCCTACTGATTTCTTTAGCTCTATTTTCCAATCTTTCTATTGAGTTTTAAATTTCTGCTGTCATATCATTTAACAACCCATTTTTATGACCAATTCCCTCTTTAATATTCTCCTTGTTTCATTTATGCAATATTTTTTATCTTTTGCAGGTATTAATAGTTTTTTTTTGAAGTTTTCGTATCTCTGTATACTTGTTCTTTCTGGTAGTTTTGATTTCGGTCTCCATTTTAGAGATATATTTGGACATCTGCTTTATTTCTGAGTACAGCACCCACAAATTGATAGGGAATTGTGAACTCTATTGTGGGTTTCCCTGTAGGGTTATCTGGCTGTCATTTTCCATGGTGAACTTCTGATGTCAGGCTCTTTAGGTTTTTTTTGTGTTGATCTGGTGGGGTGGTCAGAGAAAAATCTTTCGTCTCCTTCCTGTAGGGTGAGTCTGGCAGAGCTCTCCGCACCTGGAATATAGACTCTCTCCAGTTCCCTGTCCAGGTCCCTGTTCCCAGAGTGGTGACCCTGCTGTCAGTCGTGTTGGGTGTGGAATAGCCCTCTGTTCTTCAGCCAGAGGAGGGGCATAGCAACAGGGATTGCATAGTAGCAGAGCGTATTTCAAGGGACTTCAATAATTCCTCCTGATCAATGCCGCTGTTTCCAGAAGGTACCAGGTACAGCACTTGCTGAGCACTTTGGAATTCCATGGTGTGAATTGGGTCAGTTTGTTGGCTTTCCACACTGTGGGCTCAGGGTTCAATTTTTAGGAGTCTCCTTCACTCTTTCTGCTTTTTAGCCTTTAGAGTTTTGTTGCTGTTAAGTCTTCCCTCTTCCTCCTTCACCTTGTGGCCTATGCCTAGAGAGAAATTCTCTTCACTGTTGTTTCACATGGGTTTTGGGAGGGTGAGGAGATGAATGTGTGTTTCGTCCACACCTTTAACCTGAACCCTATTTATTCAGTAATGGTATTGCCTCCGCTCCCCTGTGCCCGAAACGTGGGAATTATCTGTCTTTTCACTTTAAATATATTTATCGGTCACTTACCGAGTACTTATTATGTACTAGGTATTTGGATTTTAAATGCTTAAAAAAATGTATAATTCCTGGCCTGAAGTTGTTTAGTATCCAGCTGGGAAGGAAGGGAACTGAATGGACACACCATGAAAATGGTCGAAGTCTGTAGAAGGTGCTCTGAGAGCAGCTGACTCTGTGGGGAAGGAAGGTCAGGCACCCGATGCTGCGCCCACACTGAACTTGTTCTTTCTTTTCATCGTCCTTGCTTTCCCATTTTGTACTTGAGCATATCTGACCCCTTAGGTCATATCGGACCTGGTAAAGTCCAGGTCCTAGAATTTTCCTCCTTTCTTCTTAGTATTGAAATTCTGTTCATCTTAAGGTGGTGTAAAGTAGGCTGATCTTCAGGGAGGAGAGTGAGCTGGCCAGCTCTGCAAAAGCGGGCCCTCCAGCCCACTGTGCTGGACCTTTACCTCTCAAATGGCATGTCTGACGTATCTGGTGTTAAAGCCATGTCTGTGCTTGTCTCACCTCCTTACTAGCATGTGAACTCTGTATCTGATTTACTGATACAGTCTCAGAGTGACCAGCACAGTGGTTATAATGTGTTTAAGATGATAAACCTTTGCTGTGTCCACTCAAATTAAGCCTTCTCCAACTCAAGAGAAAAAAAGATTTAAAGTTGTCAGGGACAGGGCTTTTATTTCATGTGTGAGCTTTAAATGTGATTGTAGAGCACTCACAGCAGGGATGGACTTTACCGTACTCTTGGTGAGAACTGCCTTGTTGTGGCAGCTTTCCCACAGTGCTATTAGCCAGTGTCACTGGCTGGTTCGCACTGATACAGTGATGCATAATAAGCAGTGGTCCTGCAAAATGATGTTGGATAACAGCATTTCAAGGTCAAAGCTTTCACTTTCTGAGAGGATGGAGAACTCTAAAATTATTTCCTGTCTTGAATAGCTCTATAATCTTCCAGGCGTTTTGTTGGACTATCATGTTGATAAACGTGTGTTTTTTAGACCCTGAGGATAAACTGTTTCAAAGTACAAGCTTTATTTAGAAATTGCCATTGGAACTCTACAAGGGCTAGGGTGCACGAGGGTCCCTAAGTACAGTGCAGTGACTTGCTCAAAATGGAACACTGGCACTTACTTGGTTCCCTCGACATGTCGAATTGCATCACTCCTTGGAGAGGAGCTAGAGTCAGGTCCAGATGCAGACGATGCAGTTTAGACAGATGCAATAAAATTGAGTTGCATTAGTTTTATTTTTCTTTCCTGTATCCAGGCAGTAGTTGCTTTGTTTTTCATATTAAGAGGGGAGCAGAGTGTGATTTCTCATATATTCTGGCTGATGGGACTGAAGCTTCTGGCATTTATATTTAGATGTTTTTTTCTCTTTAGTATCAAGAAAAACTTTTAGTACCTGATGTGTCTCTTGCTTCATCCAACTCACCCACAGTTGTTGCAAGGGGAAAGGTTTTGGTTTTGGCTATATTTCTTAGTGTACATAGTAATTCTCTAACCTCAAGAAAGATTTAAAAATGTGCCTGGCTAGAAAAATCAGGTTTTACCTTGGAGTTAGTTGGTCATCGAAAGCTGACTTAAAGCTGGAGAAGCAGCTCTTGGTTTTGGCCAACCCTTGGTCTGGGCCTGGCAGCCACTGCCCGCCCTGTGGAGCTGGGACACTGCTGAAAGCCCGGGGCAGTGAAGGTGGATCTTCTGGAAAGCCTCCGTCCTTTGCGCTGCCCAGGGGCTCTGCTGAGTAGGTTTAGGCTTTTGTATCCCACTCCTCAGGGCCCGGTTGTTTTGCAGCCCATCTGGCCCTGCCACGCACACACCATGTCTTGCTTCCTTTCAGCATATTCTTTGTTGTCCATTTTCAGAGACTCCTCACGTCTCTGGATGCTGTGCTGGATTATCATTCCGCTTGGATTGGGTCCTGTGCAGTGTCCATGCTGTGCATACGGTAGATGTGAGGCGTCGCACTTCATGCCTGGCACAGCAGAGGGCAGCAGTGGCCAGTCGTGAGTCCCTTCATCCTGCCTTTCCTCCCAGCTCATCCTCACTGTCAGCCTTCCTCCATACCGTGCTCTTTCAGCACTTCATTTAGTTTTGCATTCTGCATTTCAGGCAGGGCTTGTAATTGTTTTCTTTTCAGGAATGTACCAAATGAAACTGGAGTTGTTCATTTAAAAGTTCTATAAAAATGTCATGCATAAGTAAAAATAATCCATTAGGTAAAGTGAATAATTTGTGGGATATTTGACCCAGATGAAATTCTAGAGGTGTGATTTGCGATTAAAATAAAGAAATCTTTTTTAAAATTATTTTTGCAATTTACAGCTTTGGGATGTGAAATCAGCAAATGAGAGGAAAACCATTAACGTGAAGCAGTTTTTCCTAAGCTCAGAGGAGCCTCAGGAGGACATGGAAGTGATAGTGAAGTGTTGTTCGTGGTCTTCTGATGGCTCCAGGATAATGGTGGCTGCCAAAAATAAAATCTTTGTAAGTGCCAGTGTTTTAAAAAGCCAAATGTAGTCTAATTCAAACACAATTAGATGCTTAATTTTTTGCATTGTACCTTGTTACTGATATAAATGGAGTACAGCTGGATGGTTTGGGGCAGGCTCCATAATCTCTCACAGTTCTCGGGACTGCGCTGTAGGGAATGTCTTGGCCTTGTGAGAAGCGGTTCCTGTGGCCATGCAGGTTTGGGAAGTGTCATGTATCGCTTTCTCCAGGAGAGGTACTCAGTGTGTGCTAACATATTTAAGGCCCCAAGAAGTCCTACAATACAGAAGCAATTTATGTTGTTTAATCCAGTGTTTCTCAGATTTATTAAGAACACGGAATACTTTCTGCATCAGTTGTTTTTGTTGTTGTTCTACAGTTTTTGAGTACATTGGTTTAGGTGATTTCCAAAGTGCTTTCTTACCCCTAAAATTTTATGATTTTGTGAGAAATACTCAATGACTGAAGACGATTGTGGGATTTCAATGAAATAAATGAGGAAGTTATGCAAAAAAGTAAATGACAATGAAATGCCTTCCTTTTTTCAAATCTAATAATAGCTTACATTTGTACCATTCAGCATGCTCTCATATATAATTTCTTTTGATGTAAACATCCAAGGGACAGAAAGATTGCAGTGACTGTGATAATAATGAGGTGACTGAGGTTCAGAGCAGCCAAGTAATTTATTCAAAGTTACACCATGATTTGGAGAGCTAACTTTTCTGATTTATGGCTCAGCAACGTTCCATTCTAGCCGTGATTTTAAAAGACTTGAATAAGAGATACTACAGTTTTATTTTATTTTTAGCTTTATTGAGGTATAGTTGACAAAACTGTAAGATATTTAAAGCATATAATATGATGTTTTGATATATGTGCGCATTATGAAACGATTCCCCCGATCAGTTTAATAAGCACAACTGTCGCCTCACAGATTTACCTTTTTTTGATGAGAACATGTAAGTTCTACTCTGGGAATTTCCATTATGCAATTGGGTGTCAAATTCATTTTACTGGGGGCCACATCAGCCTCGAGGTTGCCTGCAAGGGGACGAATGTAATTTTAGGAGTGTATAAATGTAACTACTCCTTAACTAGGGGCAAGGAGCTCGGTGCTGCTGCCGGGTAGAAACAAGGTGCCCGGCCAGACAAAGCAAGGTGGAGGCCGGATCCGGCCCGTGTGCCTTCCGTTTGCCGCCCGTGCAATGCAGTGTTCTTGTCTCTAGTCACCATGTGGCACATTATGTCCTCAGATCTTATTCATCTTACAGCTGAAAGTGTGTATCCTCTTACCAATTTCTTCCTATTCTCTCACCCTAGATAGTATATTTTAGAGAACACAACAGAAATATACAATATAGTTATATAAAAACTCACTGAGGGACTGTTTATGTTATTGTTATTGATCTGTAGCTATGCCCTTTGGATCTGGGCTGCTTAATGGTTTATACCTTTATCAGGAAAATATCTCCTTTTGTCTTAAATTTGTGCAAGGCTGTAAGAACAGAAAAGGAACTGCTGCATATACAAGATTTGAAGATTTAAACTGTTTTTTGTTGTAAAATGTATAGATGTAAAGTTAGCCCCTTTAACCATTTAAAAATGTACAATGTAGCGGCATTAGTCATATTCACAGTGTTGTACAACTGTTACCACTACCCTGAAAATGTTTTTATCATCCCAAACAGAAACTCTGTAACTAGTAAGTAAAAGCTCCACATTCCCTTCTCTGCAGAATCCCCTATGACTTCTAATTTAATCTATGAATTTACCTATTCTAGATATTTCATGTAGGTGGAATCATAGAATACTGGACCTTATGTGTCTGGCTTATTTCATTTAGCATACTGTTTTCAAGGTTCATCCCTATTGGAGCGTGTATCAGAATTTTTACAGCTACATAATACTCCACTATTTGGATACACCCACATTTTGTTTATCCTTTCGTCTCTTGATGGACATTTGGATTGTTTTCACCTTTCAGCTATTGTGAGTAATGCAGTGAACACTGGTACGCAAGTATCTGAGCCCCTGCTTTCAGTTCTTCTGTGTATATACTTGGGGGCGGCATTGCTGGGCCGTACGGCAATTCTGCATTCAGCTTTTTGAGGAACCACCAAATTTTCCCGTAGCGTCTGTACCATTTTATATCCCTACTGGCAATGTGTAAGAGTTCTAGTGTCTCCGCCTTCTTGTCAACACTTGTTATTTTCCTTTATTGCGTTATAATCATCCAATTAGGTGTGAAGTAGAATTTCATTGTAGATTGATTTGCACTTCCCTAATGACTAATGGTGTTGAGGAGAATTTGAACATTTTAAAAGATATGTTCTAGTGAGGGAGGAAAATAGTTTTTTATATTGCATGAAACGCCTTCTGATTTTAAAAATCTAGACCAGCTCCTTATTTTACCTATTAAATAAAGCTAAGATTACCCTTCACTATATGTAGGTCCTAATTTCCTACTTTTGGTCTCTCCATTCTCCTCCTATTTCTTTCTAACTCTTCTGTGTTGTTAGTGCGCTCCTGTCATTAGGTGTTTTCTTCTGGCTACCCCATAATTGGGACAGCTGCCGATTCCACATTGGCCAAGTTTCCTCTGTCACTCGCAGCCACTGATTTTTTAAGAATGACTTGTCCTGGAGAGCATTTTACGTGTGATTTCCTGTCCTTTTGGCTGACCCCAGATGCTGTGCTGCAGTGCGCATGCTTGCAGATCAGGCACTTTCCGAACATTTGCGTGGCTCCCACTGAACCTCCTTTTTTCCTTCATTAAGACTGTCTTGGTCTTGAATCCCTATACTGTATGTTGGGAGAAAGGTAGTTTATCATTTGGCAAAAGTCTTTGGAAGAGTAGATTCAGCATTTTAAAATCTTTCAGAAATTGGAATGAAACTTGAATTACTCAAAAATAGCTCTTTTTGGTTCAAAAATGGGGAAATGATTGCTCATAATGGAATAATTTGGTAGCTCTGAAGAGAACTAGAAATAATTGAGCTAATTTCATGTTATCAAGCCTCTGCTCTATATTAGTTCGATCATCTTTATTTTTGAGTATCTATTTTTTCTTTTGAATAAACAAGCACTGGGGAGAACTGCTTGGTTTGTTAATTGGGGTACTCCATTCATTTCTTCACTGAGGTTTGATTTCTCTCTAGGCCAACTTGAGGGATTGTCTGTGGTAAATTTTCCTTTATAGGAAACATGTTTCAAGATGAGCAATATTTTAAAAGTGTATATATGTTGATTTATTTCTTACTTATGACTGTCAATAATATGCCAGTTATCAGTAATTATATTTTTCCAGGATTTATATTTTATATTTGATATGGATATTATTTTAGAAATAAATGTAGGTTCAGTTTGGGTACAGGTTAATTTAAAAAAATACTTTACTTCCATAGATCTCTCTCTCTTATTTTGACAGCTTTTTGACATTCAGACCAGTGGTCTATTGGCAGAAATCCACATGGGCCATCACAGCACCATCCAATACTGTGACTTCTCCTCCCATAACCATTTGGCACTGGTGGCTTTGTCCCAGTACTGTGTGGAGGTGAGCAGGTGAATTTACTCTGTGAAGTCTGTGTCTCCAGAGGTATAAGGATGATGGGGAATGGGCTGCTAAACCGTTAACTGCTGAAGATGTTTGCGTGGGAAATTATGTAATATGTTTTCATAGCTTAATAACTTAGAGCTTTAGGATGTTAACTAGATAAGCAGCCTTATTACGCTAGCAGTGGTGAAAGGCTTGCTTTGACGGTATGACACATCCTGTTGGGGGTGACAGTGTCAGTCGCCGAGAGCTGGCTGGGAGGCTAGTGTGTGCCACGGTCTGAGGAAACGGGACGACCACTGGTTTCCAAGCAGAAATGTGGCGTCTCTTAAACGACGGAGGCAGACTCTTCTGTGCGAGAAATGATGGGAGGTGAGTCCAGATCATATTTCTTAGATCACTGAGAAGGATAAGATGGAAGGTAAATTTGGAATTGGTTAACCCAGGACGTTCATCGCTAAGCACTAATGAATAAAGTGACTTACAAATTGTAACAGTTTCTACTCAGAGTCTGTATCTCACTGGCTCTGGAAGAACCCCACCAAGTGAATAGCTATATTAATTTTCTTAAGAAAGCAATGAATTCCCGGATATTTTTCCTCCAAGGATGGATTTGTTTTTCCAGGCTTTGTTACTACTCATTCCTTGAGTGCATTTTGCCACCAGGTAGTTTGAAGCCCCTTGTGATTACAGCCCAGGAAAATGGGGATGGGCCTTTATCTGGAAGATAGGAAAATTCTTTTGGTTCACAGGCTCTCCTCAAACGAAGCTTGACTACTGCAAGCACTTCCTCAGTGTTCTGTGCTCATTTCAGCCATTTTTAGTGAGTTTGCCACCTAGCCCCTTACTATGAAGGTACGTGTAGGGAGGGGGAGAGTTGCTGAGCCATGGATGGGCCTTCATGCGGAGACCCATCAAATGAGAGTGAGCAGGGGAGCTCCGTCAGCTCCTCCTAATTCTAAGTACAGCAGTGCAGCTAATACTGAAGAATGTCCCTGCCATAAACCATTCCATTGGAAGCCAAGGCAGTGAATGTGAACAAAATCCAGTCCCGTTTGAAACAGTGGGAAGAAATAGAGTGCTGTGGGCAGTGTTCTCTTTGGCTGAGGCCTTGGACTAAGTGATTCAGATCTGCTAGGGCATATTGCACCTTACAGTAGATACAGCCTCAAGTTCGGTGTAGTTGGAAATTCCCCTTTTCTGGATTTTTGTCAAGGTGTTTAGGAGGTATGGAGGTGTAACCCCTCTTCCTGCTTTTCCTATACTTCTAAAATCTTTATCCTATTCTTAGAAAGCTCTTGGAAATATTGTCTTTCTTCTAGAAATACGGGGACTTGGTTTTGGAGACTCTGGGTGACAAGGAAATGATGGAGGGGGAGAACCAGAAGGGAAGAGAGGGAAGGATTTCCAGGGAGATATTCCGGTAGTGGAAGCACTTTCATTTCAGTGCTTCAGCTCTGGATGCCCACTTTGGACTCCAGAGATAAGGTAGAGAAAATTTCATGTACTTAATTTGTAACCATAGAACTCGCTGATTGAAAACCACTGGGCATGTGATGAAGCACTTGTTTGTCCATGCTAGTTCCGAAATCATAAAGTAGGTCTGTAATTCAGAGTGTAATGAGAGGAACTCAGGCACATATGGTACTTCATTAGACTGGAATATATTTGAGTCATTTACAGCAGTGCTGAGGACAAAATATAGCCAGGCTGGTGGCAGACACTGGTGATTTGAAATAAGCATGAATAACAGGAGAAGTGTGTACATGTACAGTTAGTACACTCATTTATTACAGGGCTTTGCAATCAGTGGAAATGAGGATTAGATGACAGTGGAAAATAGTCTGAATATGGAAGCTTCTTGCGTTCAGCTATTTTTATCATTTTTAAGAAAATACATAAAACATTTGCATGGTTCTAAATCAAAAGCTTTATAATAAGTATGATCAGAGAAGTCTTGCTTTCATCACTATCCCTTCCTTTTCACCCTTTCCCACCATATGAGGTTTTGTTTCATGGTCCAATGTTTCTTTTTGCATATATAAGTATTCACATGTATTATTTATCTGCACATTTGCATCCATATATGCATTTACATGTTTCTCTTTTTTTATATTACATAATAATGTGTATATATACATAAATTCACATGGTATAGTGGATTTATGTATATATGGTATAATATGGTATAATATAGTATGATATGGTATAATTTAGTATGTATAGTCTTCTGCAAAATATATAGACTCTGCTTTCTTTGTAAATAATATGGCCCAGCAACTAGTCACTGTCAAGGTGTTTTTCTATTATTTTTTATGGCCTCATAGTAATTCATTATATGTATTATACATGTAGTTTATTCAGTTGGTCCTACTGATGGTCATTTGGGTTGTTTCCAGTTTTTTACTATTAAAAATATTGATACAGTGAACAATCTTCTGCACAAAACATTTAGTGTGCGTGTGTATATATATATAAAATGCTAATGAATGATTTCCTATATGCTGTGTTTATTCTATAGCTGTGGAATGTGGACTCATGTGTAAAAGTAGCTGATTGCAGAGGACATTTAAGTTGGGTTCATTGTGTGATGTTTTCTCCTGATGGATCATCATTTTTGACATCTTCTGATGACCAGACAATCAGGGTGAGAAATGTTGAGCTTTTCATTTTAAACATTTATGGATGGTAAGCTAAGCCTCCTACAAACTAAGAAACTAATGGGCAGTATCGGGAAAAATAAAACAGAAAACTATTAGGTTCATATTTGTCCTTGGAAATTGCGATTATATGGACTATAACAGTCTCATTCATTCAGAACATGCTCGTCGAATATCACCGTGGACCAGGTGCTGGAGAAGTCCAATGGTTAGACTGTATTTGGTCAACTTAGATATTACATTTGAATTCTTAGAGTAGCATTGACTCTTTCCTCTACCTTGAATTCCACACCCAGTTACTTGTCAAATCTAATAGATTCTACCTTTTCCTTTTCTATCATTTATTTGTGCTTTTCCATTTCAAGTTGAGGTGCTCATTACCTCTTGCTTCTCTTGCATTAGTTTCTGCCATAAGTCTTGTCTTTCTTGGTTTTCTACATGTTGCTTCCAAGATATTTTTCTCATGTATGTACAGTCATGTCACTTTTGCTCAAAAACAGATAATGGCTCCTTTGCCTGCCAAAGTAAATAAATTCTCCCAAGTCTCCCATCAGACTTCTCCACAGTACGGCCTCTTCCTGCTGCAGTCTGTCTTCTAGTTTATTTCTGCAGGTAACCGACACTGAACTGCTCACATTTTCCCAGATATCCTGTTGTTCCCTGCCTCTGTACTTTTATTTATGTGGCTTCTTATGTTTGGAATAACCTACTTCTTCATACCTCTCCTTGTTGAAATCCTAACAGTCCCACAAGCCACCACAACTTTTGTATTTTCTTGTATTTTATTTGGGGGATGCCTCTCATTTTAATGCCATATAACTTTGTCATTTTCTTTTTTAAAGATTATATTTACTTATTTTCAGAAATGGGGGAAGGGAGGGAGAAAGAGAGGGAGAGAAACATCAGTGTGTGGTTGCCTCTCATGTTCTCTACTTGGGACCTGGCCTGCAACCCAGGCATGTGCCCTGACTGGGATCTAACTTGTGATGCTTTGGTTTGTAGGCTGGCACTCAATCCACTGAGCCACACCAGCCACAGCTGTCATTTTCTTAGGGCACTTATCAAATTATGCCCTGGATTTAAGTATAGATTTGATTTACTCCCGATCTCTAATGCTATATTGCTCTTCTGACATGTTCATACATTTTAAATTATAAACTTGTTGAGGGACCTTGGTTTGTCCCTGTAGCATCTAATGCAGTGTTTTTACAAATTGTAGCTAAAATTTAGTATTTACTATATGCCTGATGTTGTGCAAACTGCTGTCCACGGATCTGCTTATTCTCACAACAGTCCTTTTTGCAGTTGAGAAAACAGACACAGAAAAGGTTAAGTCGGTGCTACTTAAAGTGCAGGCTCCATAAGCCTGAGCCAGAATGTAAATCAATGCACTGCTTCTTTCATCAAGAAGTCTTGTTAAAAAAAAAAACAAAAAACAACTTTATCACTAAGTATACTGTTAACAGTGCGTTTCGTAATATAGTTAATTTACATTCTGGTACAAACAGTTTGAGAACCAGCAGAAGGTCCTTATCTTTGAATAGCACTGGCTTACATAACTTGCCCATAGTTACAGGTAGAATTAGAATTTATACTAAGCAATTTTGGCTGTAGTGCCCATTACTTTTAACACTAACTGCTTGTTACCATAGCATGTAATTAACAAATAGTTATTGTTGAGTTATAATCTATAATTGACAAATTTTTAGTGTCCTGGGCATTTTGAGTTTGAAGCTTGGTTTGTATCTTGCTGGGACTTGTCTTTAGGATATTTTGGAGGGTATAGTAATCTCATTTTTTTAAATCTTTTAATCAGCTCTGGGAGACAAAGAAAGTGTGTGAGGACTCTGCTATAGTTTTAAAGCAAGAAATAGATGTTGTATTTCAAGAAAATGAAGTGATGGTTCTTGCAGTTGACAATATAAGACGTCTGCAAGTGAGTATTTCTTAGAAAACAATTGGAAACATTGTTTTGATTGAACTCACAATTCACAGTTTTTTTCTGGTTTGCCTTTGGACTTGGGATGAGGCACAGTCATTTAGTATCCAGCAGATACTCTCAGTAGGTGTCAGCTGAATATATTGGTCTTGAGCTGAGGCTCAGATAGGCTAGTATTTAGAAATAAAAAGGTGATACCTTGCCTTACCTCATCTTCTGGTGGTATCAGTGATCACATGCCTTGATGTGCATGGAGTCTAAGATATCATGAGGACAGATTTGAACTTGTCACAGTAGTGATTTAGACTTGTCGGAGTGTGCAAAGGAAGCATTATTGCAGGGAAATGATAACAGGGTCTTCGAAAGAACAAGTCACCTTAAGTGAGGAAGGAGTCTGACCTGTTGGAACTGAGGTGGAAGGAGCTGGGCTTTATGTACTGAAACACCGCTGTTTATTCACTTATTTACTCATACATTTATTCAAGAAATGGTTCTTGCATGCTTCTTACATTCTCAGAGAAGGAAAAAGTTTTTGAGGTAAAATTGAAAGGTCCGTATGTATCATTTAGGGATCCAAACAGTTGTACCGTAGACCCTGCCCCTCAACAAAAAGCTGACGGATGCATAAAAGGAAGGCATGTGTTGACTGGCTGAAGAGGAAAGGAGCCCCGGAGTCAGGTCCATTGGCAGAGGATTGATAGTTGGAGTTTTGAGTGGTGGTAACAGAGAGCAGATGCCTTAAGGCTCACTAGGGCTTAAGATAGGGAGCAAGAAACATGAAAGCATGGAGGGAGATAGTGAAGCAGTGCAAGAACCAAGAGAGAAACAGTAGAGAAGAGAGAAACTGAGGGGCATGCATATTGAGGATATGAGAGATAGCAAGGGTTTGAGACAGACTGGTTTGAGTAGGGAAGAGCTGAACAAGTTATAAAGCTGCGAAGTTCAGCCTGATGTAGTGGAGAGAACAGTGACTTCACTCAGGAGACCCAGGTACACGTTCTGGCTTTAAGTTCCGTTAGTTCTGTGATGCTGAGTAAATTGCCTCACTTGTCTGAGCCTCACTTTCTTCACCTACAAGGTCCTTGACATCTTTATAAGTCTGCGAGCTGGTTATACGGTCAAGGTGGAATGAAATTCAGGAGACAAATACCTGGGGGTAAATTGTCTATGGCCTATGGTTGTTTTTCCCTGTCTGTTGTGGGGGTTCATAGTCAAGCTGTGGAACACTTCTAAATACAGCTTGTTCTATATTTTGCAAGTTTTACAGTAGTCCGTAATGTGTCAATCAGGAGCTCCGGATGCCCTGCATTTCTGAGATGAATTGGGATGTGGGATTGAATGTGAATTCTTCGTTACTGATTTTTAGCAGACTTACTCTTCCACTTGAGATATTGTCCACTGCAGTTTTCTTGTCAAGTTCAGTGTCTTCGTGCTTATACTACCTTCTTAAATTTGTGCAACCAAAGGGGGAGAAAGTGGGACAACTGTAATAACATAAACAATAAGATACTTAAAAGAAAAAAGAAAAAAAATTGTGCAATCTTTAACAGTTGTTATAACTCAGACTTAAAAAGAAGTCATCTGACTATAAAAGTATTAATTTTATTCTATGTCAATGATTGTGGGAGACTGTCGAACATAAACTGACGAATAATAGTTTGGTTTAAGTGAACAAAACATTTTTTAGTCACTTCTTTAAAAAATATGGAAATTGATTTTTGAGAGAAGATATTCCACTTTTAGTAGTTCGGTCTTCATTTTGAACATCTAATAGGTCAGGACATGCTGGGTGAAGTGTAAAGAGAAACTACCCTGATTGACTGACCCTGTATTCTTGTACCGGAAAACAAAGATGACCACTCACTTCATGTTGAAAAATAATCCAAGATTTGTAGATGGTAACACTTAGAGAAAGGTATCTGACCATTGATTTAAGCTTGAGAAATATTTTCCTAGGTCACATGTTTTAGTTGAGTGATAAGCTAACTTCATTAGTGGAATTTTTAGAAATGGTCCATATTATCAAGTTGGGTAATCTTAGTTTCAGCATTTCAAGTCCAGCCACCCAAATTATGTTTATGGGTTCTTCTCCAATGCCCTCCTCTACCCCCCAAAATGGTAAAAATCTTAATTTATACTGTTTTGTAAGTGATTTGGAGGATATAAAACCCATTTTAATTTTAATTTATATACTACTTGTCTCAGTCTCAAATCACTAACTCCCCTGAATAATATCAGAAAAGTGTGTTTTTACAAACAAGAGCCCTGTTGAAATGGGCTTTGTGGAAAAATGGGCAGAAGTGGAAAACAGGTTGTGGAGTTGCCGTGGAATTGAAGATCAGACCTATGTGTCTGGGGTGGCGGGCACTGCAGCTGCTTTTTAAAATTTTTATAGCCTGTTTTTCTTTATAAAAATGTATTTGAACCACAAAAGTGAAGTGAAACGAAAGCATGAAGTGCTAAATGCAGCTGCTGAGACTAGGAAAGGGCTTTGTTGTTCCCCTGGGCGCACTTGTTGGTTATTTTCTCTGTTTTATTATTATTTTTTCAATTGAAGTGTCTGTTCTAAAGAACAAAAACAGCTCTTACAGCCTAATAACTGATTGTGCCTTATTTTTCATTAGCTCATTAATGGAAAAACAGGTCAGATTGATTATCTGACTGAAGCTCAAGTTAGTTGCTGTTGCTTAAGTCCGAATCTTGAGTACGTTGCATTTGGAGACAGCGGTGGAACCATTGCGGTATTCAATTCTAGTCTTCAGTCATTCTGTGCAGTATGGTTATTTATTTAAAATGAATATGTGTCTGGCATTGTAGACCTACACTGTATAAATCTGTGATTTATTAGTCACTCTGTTAGACTAAAGATACGCTTGCAATCCTTGTTGTATATTTTTCACATTGCCTTTACTACTGTTTTTCATACTTTTTGTCTTTTTGTGTTCCTTAGTCCATGCTCAGTTGCTATTTTCCAAGTATATCAGAGCTTAAGCTGACTATGCAAAGAGCATTTTTTTCTTTTCTTTGACGCTCAGGCATTTAGGGGATAAGTTGTTTGCATTTTGGTACTGATAAGGTTCATTGGGAGTATTGGTGCAGGGTTGTCTGTGTTTACCTGCTTCCCCACTCCTTGCTCTTCTACCTTTGGTATTGGAAGTACATCTATTCACCACCTGAGATTCTTTTTTTTTTTTTTAAGTTTTTTTTATTGATTGTGCTGTTACAGTTGTTCTATTCCCCCCTTCATTCCCCTCCACCCTGCACAGCCCTTCCCCCACCATTCCCCCCCTTTTGTTTATGCCCATGTGTCACAAGTTCTTTAGATTCTATATTTCCCCTACTATTCTTGCCCTCCCCCCTATCTATTTTCTACCTGCCGTCTATGCTACTTATTTTCTGTACCTTCTCCCCCCTTCTCCTTCTCTCACTCCCCCTCCCCTGTTACTAACCCTCCATGTGATCTTCATTTCTGTGGTTCCGCTCCTGATCTAGCTGTCCTCTTAGTTTACTTTTGTTTTAGGTGTGGTTCTTAATAACTGTGAATTTGCTGTCCTTTCACTGTCAATCTTTTTTATCTTTTTCTTAGATAAGTCCCTTTAACATTTCATATAATAAGGGCTTGGTGATGATGTACTCCTTGAACTTGACCTTATCTGAGAAACACTTTATCTGCCCTTCCATTCTAAATGAAAACTTTGCTGGATAGAGCAATCTTGGATGTAGGTCTTTGGATTTCATGACTTGGAACACTTCTTTCCAGCCCCTTCTTGCCTGTAAGGTGTCTTTTGAGAAATCAGCTGACAGTCTGGTGGGAACTCCTTTGTAGGTGACTGTCCCCTTATCTCTTGCTGCTTCTAGGATTCTCTCCTTCATTATAATCTTGGCTAATGTAATGATAATGTGCCTTGGTGTGATCCTTCTTGGGTCCAACTTCTTTGGTACTCTCTGAGCTTCCTGGATTTCCTGGAAGTCCATTTCCTTCACCAGATTGGGGAAGTTCTCCTCCATTATTTGTTCAGATAAGTTTTCTACTTGTCGCTCTTCCTCTTCTCCTTATGGTACCCCTATAATTCAGATGTTGGAACGTTTAAAGATGTCCTGGAGGTTCCTAAGCCTCTCCTCATTTTTCTGAATTCTTGTTTCTTCATCCTTTTCTGTTTGGTCATTTTTTTCTTCCTTCTGGTCCACTCCTTTGATTTGAGTCCCAGTTTCCTCTCCATCACTATTGGTTTCCTGTGCATTTCCCTTCATTTCAATTAGTTTAGCTTTCATTTGTTCCTCTAATTTGTGACTAAAATCAACCAGTTCTGTGAGCATCCTGATCACCAGTATTTTGAACTGTGCATCTGATAGGTTGGCTATTTCTTCGTCTCTTAGAGTTATGGGCTCTGGGGCTTTGAGTTCTTCTTGAGCCATGTTTTGGCCTGTTCAAGTCTGTTACATATGAGGGGCAGAGCCCTAGGTGTTCACCAGGGTGGGGCGACCCAGGTCGCTGGTTTGTGATGCTGGATGTGTGGGCGGGGTCAAAGAGGGGCAATAGTGGTCCCCTCTGCTGCTTCCCACCGCTGGGGCCTGCGCAGTCCATCTCACTGCTTACTCCTTTGCCTGTTTTATCCGCGTGCGAATGTGTGACCATGGTCAGCCAGCCGCCTTGCACCCTCACTGGGATCTGCCCCTTGCCACCCCACACCTGGGATCCGCCCACAGCTGCCTGCGCGTTTGGGTCTCTCATGCCTTGGTGGGTTGGTGGATCTTTTCTGCACAGCTCCCTCTCTGGCTCTGCCCCTCTTACTGGTTTAGCTGAATGTTTTGTTGTTGTCGGACTTCCGTACAGTTCAGTTTTCTGTGTTTTGGCTGCATTTTTGTTACTAAAACTTTGTTGTCTTTAAACTTGGTTGTGCGAGGAGGCACAGTGTTTCCACCTACGCCTCCATCTTGGCTGGAAGTCCATACCCTCCTTTTCTTTACCTGTCTCCCTTAGTATCCTTTATCTTACCTTGTCTCTGTACTGTTTCATAAAGAACTTGCCTTGTTTCTCATCCAGGATGTTTTTTTTTTCACTTCTTTGATCCATCTTAAGTGTCATATTCTTTTTGGAGGCTGAACCCAGGCTACCACTTGTGTGGTGAATTGGGTAGTTGAGTACTCAGAAGGACCCCTGGCTCCTACTGCCATGGGGGCATTCCAGTGAGTTTTTTAGGGTGTTCTTGTTTGCCTGTAGATGTGTGTGTATGTATGTGTACCATCCATTTGTGTGTCTTTAATTTAATATGTTTAGGGTATAATGCATGGGTCTTGCTGATTTTCTTTCTATTAATTTTCTGTGGTTTTCTACTTTGAAGATTTTAGAACTTCTCAACACAAGGATATTTCGATCCAGCATCAGGCACAAGAACACTGTATGGCACCTGCAGTTCACAGCTGATGGAAAGACTCTAATCTCAAGCTCTGATGATTCTACAATTCAGGTGAGAGGGAAGGTGAACTCTTAACACAGGCAATGCTAACTCTAGCAAAGGAATGCTTCGATTATGGCTCAAAACTGGTGTGTACTGGAAACATTTCTTCAACGTGGTATTACTTGGGGCACACAGTCATGTCTGCATGTGGGTTTAGATAAAACCCCTTTGTGTTTCATATTCTCTGTGGGTGAGGCAGGCAGTTTGACTACCTTCTACTGGAAAGTTTTTTATTTTGTAAATCAAGGATTTATTTGAATTCTCCCATCTGCCTGGATATTTGGATTTGTATCAATAAATATACCTTTTGCTACATTTAAGTAATTTTACAGTAGCAAAATCCCATTGAAATAATTTCATTTTTTTAAAGGATAAGATGTTTATTACAGGGACGAAGTCTTGTGGAAAACGAAGAGTTTATCATAATGAAGGATTGTGGATATAGAGGCCTTAAGCCTACTCTGTGGTCTTTTATAATTTATTTTTATTGACGTATCAATGCACATTAAGTCTGAAGCAATTCTGATTCCTAATGTTTTTGTTTGGAAGATTCTAGTTTTCTCTTTCTGCATTGCATTTTTTTATACTGTGCTTTATTTTCTGAGAATTTTTCTCAGCTTTATCTTCTACTCCTTTCACTAAGTTTTTTATTTCTCCCCTTACATGTTTAATGTTGGAAAGCCCATTTGTATTTTTTTCCTTTGAAGAGCACTGTGTTTCATTTCATAGATGAACTATGTTCCCTGAGGGTGGATGGATATATAAAATACATAAATTGGTACTTGGATATAGTGTAATTATATCTAAGCTTTCTCCTGAAAATTTCATTTTTTCTGCATAGTTGCTATTCCCTCCTATCCTAGTTTTCTTCTGTTTGGTTGTTTTGGACTTTTAATTTTTATTTATTTTTAGAGCGTGGAAGAGAAGGAGAAAGAAAGGGAGAGAAACATTGATTGGTTGCTCTCGCACACCTCCAACTGGGGATTGAACCCTCAACCTAGGCATGTGCCCTGAGTAGGAATCGAACCTGCGACCTTTTGGATTGCGGGACGACACCCAACCCAGTGACCCACACCAGTCAGGGCTGGCTGTGGGGATGCTCCGCCCATAGAGCCAAACCTCTTCCACCCCCTACCAGCTGCCACAGATAAGAATAAGTCTACCAGGACATGATCTGTTTGGGACGGAAAGGTGGCCATTCTTTCAAAGAAGAAGGGCCAAGAGCCTTTTCCTTAGTGGGCTTTTATTGGGTTCATTTTGCACAGGAATACAGGTAAAGTTCATTAATCATTGTCAGGCAGTAAGGATCAAACAATAGATAACATACAAAGAACTACGAGGGCTTAGTCAGAGTCAGAGTCGGTTAGCTAAGGGTCTACAAAACTTTGGGAAACAAACTCATTTCCTGTTCGGACCCTTATCATTTAATTGGGGACATTCTTAGCAAAGCAGATTTCACAGGATTTTATATATTCTTTCTTAGGCCTGATCACCTGGGGAACCCACCCCTTCCAGCACAGGGCTGCACCACCCTCTGTCATTGTTTCAGGCTTAGGTCCAGCAGGGGAAATAGGGCAGCCAAGAGGTTAGGAGACTTCTCGCAAACAGAATGAGTACTCAGGCTATGTCAAAGCCAAGGGGCCAGGGTCCATCACCTCCTTTTGCTATAACCCCCCAAGTCCTTCCCTGGGGTCTCCCTGTGATCACGCCTGTTTTAGGCTGTCCCTCCCTTGAGGAATCTTACCCATTATTTGCTAACTGATCAAGCATTGGGGGCCAGGCAGGGTGAAGTGAAGGGGGCAGAGGCAGTGCCCCTGCCAGGGAGGTAAGCTTTGTATCCTTAGTGGCTTCTGCTCTGAAGGTCACTCACTCAGCCTTAGCCATGGGGAAGTTATAGCTTCTGAAACCAGGCAGGGCGGTTTCCAACAGCTGGCCTTTTATTTTAAAGGCCATCTTCATCTGTGTAGTGATCATTTGCTACCAGAGATAGGCACTGAAAGGCTGACTGAAAATTTTGTGTGTTGACTGAGACCTTCTCTGAATGGTGATTTGAATGAGAAACCTTTATTGTCAGTATCTTTAGATCTTTTGTCTAGGTCTTGTCAGACGTGGCTGAAGGTTCTTAGAGCCAAGTGGAGGAAGAGAACGGGGTGGGGGTAGGGTCTCAAGGTTTAGTGTAAACCTTCACTTGACCCCTGTTCTTACCTGTAATGCTGCCCTTAGTTATGCTGGCACCCTTTAATCCAGAGATTGTTTTTCTGGTTTGCTTTCCATGTCTGTAGGAGCATTATTCTACACTTTATTGTGTTTTTTTCCTCATAGTGAAAAAACTTTGGGATTCAACTAGGATTTTTTTTCTCTTTTGCACAAAGTAACGTTCCCGAACTCTTTGAAGGAGTGGGGAGGTCAGCATAGCTCTGTAGCTCCTCCTCCTGTGTTTTCCCAAAGCATTAAATAAATATAGGGCCTGGTCTTTTGAGACCTCTTTGCTCTGTTCCCTTCCCTCAGTTTATTTAGGCCTTCTCTTTTCTTTGCTGCCATCATCCTCGTCCTATTCAATTTGGATTCTATTCCCAGTAGTTTCTTCTCATGGTAGGACCGGCCGGGTTAATTTTGAGAGTTCATAGGGCCCAGACTGCTTGGCCCTTCCCGACTAACCACAGTGGCCTTGCACTTAGTTTCTGCTGCTTTTCTGTTGGTCCACTGCACTTCTTGGTGAATGTCACTTGGTTCTTTTCTGACTTTTCTCTCTTAGATCTGTCAGGCTCCCTAAGCTTCCCTCTGCTCCTTCCCACGCAGATGCTATTACCACGTACATCTGGGAGCTCTCAGTTTGCCTCTCTCTCTTGCACCTTGGGGTTTGTGGGGATACTTCGTCATGTAACACGATCTTGTTAATGTGGTCTGTGCATTTGGTTTTGCTTTTTTAGTTGCTTTGTCAGCTTTCAGTAGAGGCTTTGGGGAGATTAAAAAAAGAAAACTGCCTACCCTGCTGCCATTTTCCCAGAATTTCTAATACTTCTGTTCTTAGCCCCACCCTCATTCCCGTCCTAGAGGTACACCCTAGGTGTACTTAGTGACCTGGATTTCTGAGTACTTGGGAGTTCCATAGTGTTAATTTCATTGCTTTAGTCTTCCTTTAATACTTTTAGTTTTCTGTTTTCTTGGTTCTGCTAAGTCAGTTGTCTTCTGCTTTGCAGCTCCAACATTTTATCTTCTTTGCCATTCTCTTGTCTTTGTCTCTTTTGTAAGGTTTTAGAAGTGAAGGAGATGAACACATATGTGCAGTGGAAGTTACTATATATTTTTAGTTTAGTATCTATATATGTGTATAATGTTAATATATATTTTTTTCTTATTGTGGTGATAATAATAAGAAAAATGACTTGCACTATTAAAAACTATTTTGAAATAAAACTATATTATGTCTTTGTGAGCCTATATGATTTGAAAGAAATTTGGCTTCAGTATAGAAACTTATTTATTATAGGCTCCCATGATACTGAGGTATTAGCTGTGGCACTCAGTGTGATATTCATCTTTCTTCCTTTCCAGATGGCTTTGAAATGGGTGAAACTAAACTACATCTGATGAAATTCTGCCAAGACATTGTATACTGTGTAGCATTTCTGTCAGAAGCTAAATTCGTAGGTTTTATGACCTGCCTGAAGATCAGATATTCTCAGCTAGAGGGAAAAATAATTTCTAGGAGTATTTTCAGGATTGGTGTTAGATTATTTTTAGAAGTATGAGTTGTGTTCATCCTCTAGTCCAGTAAAGCCCAGAAGGTAGGAGGAGGGAACTGGAAAGTTCCTAGTGGGAGTGGTCTAGGTCGGGTATTTTATGTTCCTTTGCACAAGCGCCTTTTCTTTCTGATATGATTTTGGCGGGGGAGTTGCAGAAAAGCCTCTCTTTCTTCCCTTCCCCCTGATATATCTCACCGGTCTTAAAATACTGAGATGCCCAATTCATTCCCTTTAAGTGGTCCTCACTTCCAGCTCCCTTGCTCTCATAGAAGATTCCCTGCTCCTGCTTCCCTGCTTCTGGGAGCGAGCACTGCAGTGGCAGAGATGGAGAGAGTCTGAGAGTGGGGCGGGGGTGCGGTGGGTGGCGGCGGTGGTGTTTCTTTTGCAATTTTGCCTAAGCCTGTTAGGAAAAACCTTGAAGACATTTCTGCTGTTTAGCCTGCACGAGTCACAACCAGATCTAGAATATTACTAATATGTGTACCTATGATGGTGGCTGATTTTTAAAAGTGGAAGGACGAAAATTCTGTTGGAGCCTGCCTGGTCGTCCACATCCCACAGATCAAACTTTATTGGACTCTCTGGGCTGTTTTATCAAATATCTTCCCAACAGATTTTTCCCTACTGCTCCTTTTTCATGTCCTGTATTCCAGCCAGATTTTGGCCTATGTAATATTTCCATATTTCCTCCTCCTGTGTTTTAACAGTTAGCGATCATTTCCTTTTTTTGAACGCCCTCCACAGTGTGTGAATCACACTTTCAGTCTATTCCTCAAGCCTGCTTTGCATGTGTTCCCTCAGTGAAGTCTTCTCCAAGGAATTGCTTTTTTGCATTCCACAGAACTTTTACTGGTGTCGTTAGAGCTTCTGTTGCTTGTTTTTGGCATATCTCATTTTCTCTGCTAGACCCTTAAGTTTCTTAATGCTAGATTCTTGTTTCATTCATATTTGCCTCACATATAGATGCTAAATAAATATTTGTTAAATTAATTTCAAGTCAAGAATTAAAAAGGCTCTAAATGTAATTGTTTTCATTTAGTAGTTAAGGGTTTTGTACATGGACATGACATAGAAATAAACTGTTCACCTGTGTGCCTCACGCATGTTTGTATGGCTTATTTTGTGCCAGTCACTTGTATTATTTCAGTTTCTTCTTCCCTTTTGCCTGAGGAGTTCTTCCTGGAGAACTCCTTGTGAAGAATAATGCACTGTATCACCTCTTTTGTCATTTTCAAGTGTTGCTTTAGGTTTTAGCTAAGATCTCTGAAGCTGGGAAATTCCATGACCTTGTTTGAAGCTGCTCTTGTTCAGTTGACCTTGTCAGGCGAGGGCCAGTAGGATTCGGTAGCTTTAGCTGAGCTGGAATCTGCAGACTTGCCTGGCTTGTGAAATCTGTGAATATGTGATTGAGATAATCTTCCCTGGAAAATGTAATCAGGTGTGAGCTCACTAGCATATTGTGGCTTTTCTCCATCTTCTGGTGTAATTAACTACTCTCCAAGAAAATAAAGAAAACAAATTTTATTTAGGAAGAAAAGTACTTTATTTTACCCCTAGTCAACTTATTTAACCTTCAGTCATTTTCTCTTCTCTGTCTGTAAAACAGGACACCATATTCTTTCTTGGTACTCTTTGTTTCACTGAAATGCAGTGAGGATAAAAGACTTTAAGCGGGAGCATTTGAGATCTTGCTCCCAGGCATATGTCTTCAGTTTGACTCAGATAAACTCATAATAATAAAAAAGGACTTCGGACAGTGAACACATTCTTCCCTACACCTCCAGTGGGATATTATGGAGAGAGGGTTATAACACTTACTTCTTTGATATTCAGGTATGGAATTGGCAATCAGAGGACTATATCTCCCTGCAAGCCCACCAGGAAACTGTGAAAGACTTTAGGCTCTTGAAAAATTCAAGACTGCTTTCCTGGTCATTTGATGGCACGGTGAAGGTAATTTGAAGAGCACATTTCTTTTTTAAAAAGTATTCTAATGTTGCAGTGATTATATCGTGACAGCCAAAAGCATGTGGATGATAAGTCACTACTTACATGTTCACATTTGTTTTCTCATGCTGGTTGTAAGTTTCCTGCAGTCACCTGTATCTGCTTTGTGTGCATGAGCTTCTGTACTAAAAGGGCACATAAAGAGGTCAAACCACAACTCTGCTAAGGCTCTTGTTTTATAAGTCTGTGTTCTAGCTGATTCTGTTCAGTAACACAAAATGTTCTTAAGTGTCAGCTTCTGAGTTTTTCTTTGAAGGTATGGAATATCACTACTGGGAAAGTAGAGAAAGACTTTGCCTGTCACCAGGATACAGTCCTTTCTTGTGATATTTCTCCAGATGCTACCAAGTTTTCATCTACCTCTGCTGACAAGACTGCAAAGGTAGGTTGGTCGGTTGAAATGTGCATGCATGAAACTTTGGAATTGGTTATGAGTTCTGGGTCCAATAGTGTACAAAGTGAATAATGAGTTTCTCTTTGCATGTCTGTCATATTTTGTGAGTTTTTGGAGGATTCCCATTGGCAATTTAGTTGGTGTCAAATAGATTAAATGAATGACATTAAGGACTTTTGATTTCTCCCTTACTTGATTTGCTCTTTGTTTGTTACTAATCAGATGCAATCGAAGGCATATTATAGTCAATAAAAGCATTGAGGGGGGTTTACATTTAATTGTGTATTCATAGTAAGTGTTTATATAATTGATATGAAGTTGATACTTCTGAGAAATAACATTCCAGTGAAATGATTCTGCCTTTTGGGGATGTTGAATAGTCCATTCTCTTCTATTTTATCCGTCTTTGTTAATGACATTATTATTGACCCATCTTTCCAAACTACAAACCGTGGAATTGCCTGGGACTCTATACGGTCTTCTGTGCTGTGTTCATCACTTCTCAGTGTCTCTTGGCTCCTCCTCTTCTCCTTGCTCCCTTAAAACCATGCTCACTTCCTTCGCTGGTGGTCTGAACCTCTTCCAGTGTATCCCCTGGCACTGCTGTCTGCATCCCTGCTGAAACACTTCTGTGGCCTGATAGTTTGTAAGCCAGTCTCAGCCGGAGTTGCAGCTCATCACTGTCTCTTTCTGCTACCTCGTTCCCTTCATGTCAGGCTCCTGCTCCCTCCGTCTTTTTTGTGCCCACTGTTAACTGTAGCTCAAGGCAGTCTTCTTTTCCTTTTTTACCCCGAAGCATTATGACTCATTCTTCCAGACCCAGATATGATGTCAGCTCTTCAGTGAACCCGTTCTGGCCCTCAGGCAGGATTAGCTGCTTCACGTCACTGTGCCCGTTACAGATTACTCACACTTATTAGAGCATTTACTTCTTACAGCTGTTCGCTTAACCATTCATAAGCCAGTATTCCTGACTAAATTACACACTTTTCAAGGACAGGGACTGCACCCAGTTCATCTTTTGCCACCAGATCTTAGTGCACAGTGCCTGGAAGATGGTTGTTTCCAGCACATGCGTGTTGGATGGTGGTGACAAAACTGTAAGGGAGGGTGTTGGAAGGGAAAGAACTACATTTGACCGCCAGGATGGTAGGGTGGTATAGTGTCCCTGCCCTTTAAGGAACACTTGCCATGTGTTAGGCCCTGTGCTAGGAATTTCAGTCTCTATTATTTAATCTTCACATCGTAGGTGCTGTTGTGAAATGTCCTCAGTTCACAGATGCAGAAACTGAAGCTGCAGCATCTTACGTGGGTTGTCTAGGCCACAAGGAACTAGTGAATAGTGGAGCTGGGACTCACAGTCAAGTCTGCTTCAGCACCACTGGCCATTCTTAACGCATTTACTGTTCATCCTTCTAAACGGGAAGTTAAGAACCTTGAGCTGAAGTGAACTTGAGTAATTAACGAGAAACTCAAAAATGAACAAGGTTTTTGAGTTTCTCTTTAATTGGTGGGGAGATGGGCCTCCCATGGAAGTTTATGAACTGTCGGAAGCTGGAACTTCTATGTGATTGACTTGGTGGCCACCTGGCATTCTAGGCAGGGTTTGCAGAGGCTTATTTTGAATGTGTTTACTGCTCCTAAACAATCCTGATTGTCTTCCAGATTTGGAGTTTCGAACTCCCGTCCCCTCTTCATGAATTGGAGGGCCACAAAGGCTGTGTGCGCTGCTCTGCCTTCTCTGTGGATGGTACCCTGCTGGCAACTGGAGATGACAATGGAGAAATCAGGGTAGGGGGTTTGGGGACATTAAGAACTGCCCTTCGAGTATGTAGCTTGGGCGAGCCCTCTGCACTGCTTGGGGACCTCCGTTAACGTGAGTGACAAGGAAGCCCCAGCCCTGGGTTCTGCAAGGAGGAGGCATTCTTTGTTTCGGTTCGTGTGCACGTTAGGTTCATAGCTGTGCTCAGCTGCAGAGAAGAATTCGTGTTAGAGTGAAGCACTTCCTATGTATGTGCGGAGGCAGATGCCCTAGTTATTAGCAGTTGGTTCTCTGCTGTTAGCTTGAGAATGAGTCATCTTAATTCTTGGACCTGAGCCAAAAGTTGTTTTTAGTGGCAGAATATGAGGAAAATAATTTTGTAAATCATTATGTAGATTATAAATGAAGTGCATATTCTGCCACTTTCAGCACTGAAAAAAAACCTCTCTTTAAGCACCAGACCCATCAGCTGGTCCACACTCACAGTGGGGCCAGTGGCCGTCCCTGTGGGCCCACCCGCCTTCGGGTCTGTCAGAGGGTCGGACACTTGATGGGAGGAGAGTCTTGTTGTTTTTTGTTTTTTTTTTTTTTTTTAAACAAAGGATATAAAATTCAAGGAGTAGGTATGTAATACTGAAGAATGGGAGAGCGTGTAGCTGGCAGGAACACAGGCGTTAGCAGCTAGGCTTTCGGGGAAGAAGACTCTCCTGCTTGAGGACTACGCAGTCTCTGCACCATCCTTGTAAATGCCACGTCCTCTGAAGTGGCAGGGCTGTTTTGGGAACATTCCTTTTGCTAAGCTCTCATCTTCGATGAAAGGGCTTCTTTCCTGGTTGTGAGGCAGGGTTTCATTTTTCAGAAACCCTGAAGGAGAAAATCGCCTCTCTACCTCGTATCCAGCCGTCTTACTGAATTCTTTCTAATGAGTTTTGCCACTTGATTCTTTATTGTTTTGTACTTTTATGGCCTTATTCATTCACTCATTCATTCCTCATCTGTTCATTAATGTTACTCCAATTCAGTGAGTTTAGTGATAAGTGTACACCCGCGAAACCATCCCTTGTCAGGCCATGGACATCTTCATCACCTCCCAAAGTTCCCCTCCATCCTTTTTATTATTATTTTTGTCTGCGATAATAACTTTTCATATAAGATGTACCTTCATCTTAGAAAACTTTAAATGCACATGCCCTCGCTGGTGTGACTCGGTGGATTGAGCACCAGCCTGTGCACAGAAGCCTCACTGGTTCGGTTCCCAGTCAGGGCACATGCCTGGGTTGCTGACCAGGACAGCTGGTTGATACATCTCTTGCACACTGACATTTCTCTTCTTCTCTTTCTCCCTCCTTTCCCATCTCTCTAAAAAGAAATAAAATATTGAAAAAACAGAAAATTTGAAATATACAATATAGTATATATGTCTTGCATAACAAACTTTGCATCCTTTGGCTGTAACCTCCCCATATTCTCTTCCTCTTAGCCCCTGACGATCACCATTCAATTTTCTGTCTTATGAATTTGCAGCATGCCATTCTTTTGGATTTTCTAATACATTTACAAAGGATGACTTTGATATTTTTATGCCTCTGTTTTTAATCGGACAGGCATTTCTTTGAGAAATTAGAGTACTGCTTATATATTGTCACTGGAAATAAATAGGAATATTAGCATCTGTAATTAGGTTGCTTATGAGAGTTTAGTACAATACTATCTCTCTCTGTATGTACATGTCCATGCTGGGACTTCTAGATTTTTTTTTTTAACTTAGTGTTTAAAATGCATACTTAACATGTTTGAATGACATTTGCCATATTCTAAGTGGTAGATCTTAGACTAGAATTTCTTTTTTAAAAATTAAATTTATTGGGCAACATTTAAAAAAGATTTTATTTATTTATTTTTAGAGGAGAAGGGAAGGAGAAAGAGAAGGAGAGAAACATCAGTGTGTGGTTACCTCTCACATGCCCCACATTGGGGACCTGGCCTGCAACCCAGGCCTGTGCCCTGACTGGGAGTCGAACCAGTGATCCTTTGGTTCCTACCCTGCACTCAGTCCACTGAGCTACACCATCCAGGCTTTCTTTGTTTTTTTTTTTTTTTTGAGGTAGTTTATATGTTAGGTCTTGTTTATTTCTTATTTCTCTTATCATCCTCTCTTTATTAGATGAAAAGAGCCACAGTATTATTTTTTGAAGTATAGTCAATGATAAATATTGTAAGTAAAGTGAATGGGAGAGATTACAATCTAAAAAAAATTCCTAAGGTATCACTAACTTGATTTCCAAAGATGTTTCATATGAGATGGAAATATATAACGAATTTCTGGGTAATGCTGGTAATGATCTGTGTTTCATGTCTGTGTAGATATGGAATGTGTCAAACGGGGAGCTGCTTCATTTATGTGCTCCGATTTCCGTAGAAGAAGGAGCCGCTACTCACGGAGGCTGGGTGACCGACCTCTGCTTTTCTCCAGATAGCAAAATGCTCGTCTCTGCTGGGGGCTATCTTAAGGTAAGCGTGTGCTAAAGACTGTGAGAGGAAGGAACAGCCGGTGTCCCATTTTCCAAGCTGTTTTTACTTCCTGTGTCTCAGCTGGTCCTCGTACATCCCTGCAGAGGGCAAGGGCGGCTCCCCTTGTCCCTGTTGTGTGCAAGGCCGCTTTCCTCCGATCTCGGGGAGGTTTTGGTGGCAGTGTTGGGATGTTGTAGGTCCGGAGCTCTCAGGCTGCCCTGTACAAAGTCTTAGATGATAAGAATGACTGGAGAGTGGGATGTTTAACATCATTTTATTTCTACCTCATAATTATTAACTATTTGGGTTGAAAGTCTTTACAAAATTTTCTGAGCTTTTAAGTATTAATAGTAATGGTGGTATTAATAACACTGGCAGGAGCATATTGCTTTTATAGTTTACAAAGTGCTTTACTTACATCATCTCATTAGCCAGTTTTGTGAGGCTTAAATTTTATTATCTTTGGTTTATAGATGAGAAATGTGATGTTCATGGAGAGTTGTGTCTTCCCTAGAATTGCGTAGTAAATTGGTGCATACAAACTCAGGAGTGACTGCAGTGGCCGAGGCTCGAATGTCATGGTGCCTCAGGGTCGTTTTTGGGCCCTTGTGTCTATTAATCCATCCACCCAATAAGATGTTAAGTGTCTGCTGTGTGCCAAGACACTGCTGTGTGGCACAAGTTTTAAATTTGGTTCCTGCCAGCTGCTGCCTTACAGTCTTTGGGGGAAGCAGACAGTAAACAAAATCCCTGAAGTGTAGGAGGGGTTCTGGGAACATTTGCATATGGAGCGTAAAGGCACAAAGGAGAGGAGCTAACATTCCACCTCCGGGAGTTTGCAGAGGCTGTCTGTGGAGGGAGACGCTTGAGGTGGGAGTTTGGAATAGTGGTTCGCTTAGGAAAGGGGTCGAAGATGATGCTGTATGTGGTGCTGACCACTTCAAATAGATCCCTAGTAAAGTAGATCTTATGATACTGTTACCTCTTATTGAAGACATTCAAGTGTAGGAGATGGTTCTAATTGTCTAACACAGTGTGGATGTTTTGCATGAATTGGTTGAAGTTTTTGATAATATGAGACCCATGTAATCGTAATTTTACTCAACATGAAAATTTAGTTTATCAGTAAAGATAAATAAGAGAGCAGTTTTTAGCTCTATGGGAGGATGTGCATTAGGTACAAGTTTACATTTAAAATACAACACTGTACAGCCTGTTGCATTAACCTCTCTTTCTTTGGCATGCCTGACTCACTAGGGAATTGGGAGGCTGTCACCACTTGTCCTTCTGTAACATAAGGATGAATTTAGTCGGCTCTGAGGATGGTGCTTAGAATGGCGGCTTTGCTCTGTTTGTGGAGGGAGCTGGGAGTCTTGCCTGCTCTTCATTAGCAGCTAAAAAACTGCTGAGACACTGAGCTTCTAGAGACCATGTCATTTGATGCTCTGGGGCCCCTCAAAGGCTGTTCCATAATTCGGAGTCCGGTTTACAAGATGTGACAGAGATCAATGACCAGATTTCCAGAGTTTTTGGAGAACCTTGAAATAAAGTAGCAGAATAGATAGCTGTATTGTAGAGGTTAATGCCTTAAGGGAGGAAGAGCCTGTCACCTGTGTATTTGGTCTCTGCTTGTGACAGTCAGGCTGCCCCTCCCTCTGGTGAAGGCGGTGGTGACAGAGCTCTGCCAGCCTCCACCCAGCATGTTAATGAGACATCCAATGCACAGAGCAAATTAAAAGTAAAAAAAGGAGCAGCTGCTGCAGTGTCCAAGTAAGTAGGCCTTTTGAGTCTGTTTACTTGAGAATCCAAGGTGTATAAATTGAATGTCAATAAGATAAAGTAGGTATCCAGTAGCTAAAAAGCTCTTAACTTTCAAAATTGTTCCTACTTGTAAATTTAAAAAGTACTGTAATTTAGCTGTTTACTTGTGTTATGCCACAGGGTATATACTCTGTTAGAATGACAAGAAACCCACATAGATTCATACTCATGAGGAGAAAAGCGGATTTAAAATACGGACTGCATGGCAGGGAATGCAGGGTTGTCCGTACTTAGAGGCAGCAGAGGGGCTGGTCCGGAGAGTGAGCCTGGGGGCCACCGCCCGAGACCAGAGCCTGGCTCTGCTGCTCATTCGCTCTGTTAATATTCTTACTAATCACAAGATTATTTCAACTCGAGGTGCGTCTATTTTTTTATCTGTAAAATGGGCACAATTTCTACCTATAGGGTTGGGAGGATTAAAGCACTTATAAATAGTGCCCAGAATCTGGATGTACCCGAGCCCTTTTCAAAAGGTATATGGTGTCTCTTTTGCCCTCATTTTAGCTGTGATGTATATGAGTGAGCTTTATAATCTCCATTTGATAAATGAATATAAATATTGTTACAGTTCTAGTGAATTCAGTGATTGGGAGGAGAAAGGAAGGACTTCGCCAGAGTACCTGCCATGTTTGAGGTGTTCACTGTTTGTTTAGCACATGCATGCAATATTTTATATTGAAACTTAGTCATTGGCTCTTGAGTCACTCCTGGTGAAAGGGAAGATTCAGTAGAGAGCACAGTCTGTCCTGTAGCCCAGATTATGAATGGTCTTGGTGTCTGCCAGAATGCCAGTTCTTGTCTGCAAAGGGCCATTTTTAGAGAAGGCATTCTTCTGTCCATTCCACTGAGGCCTGCAGACAGGAGAGCTCAGTCCAGCCATGGCCCTAGTGGACTTCGTGTGGCTTCGTGTCTGACGCTCTTGACTGGCTGCATGTTTCTTCACGCCTCGGGTGCAGGTCGGTGTAGGGTAGCTGGGAGGCAGTCACCAGGCTTGATCGGGAAAGGCTGATCTGATTGGTAGTAACCGTATTCAGCATTAAACCTTAGACTGCTTTCCTGCTGTTTGTGTAAGTTTGGGCACGGGAATGCGATGGGGCGCAGGATGCACCCTCTCGGGCTGGCACCACAGCCCGTTGTGTGGTGTAATCACCAGTCTAACGGGGATTTTCCTTCTCTGCACAGTGGTGGAGCGTCGTCACTGGGGAATCCTCACAGACCTTCTACACAAATGGAACCAACCTGAAGAAAATACATGTGGCCCCTGACTTCAAGACATATGTGACTGTTGATAATCTCGGTATTTTATATATTTTACAGACTTTAGAGTAAAATAGTTAAGCATTAATGTAAGTTGAACCTTTTAAATTTTGACTTGGAAAAAATCGTGATGAACTTGTATTCCGACTTTTTATGAAGCTGTGAATTGTTTTGCAGTATTGTATTCACTACAGAAGTCTTCGTGGCTGGGTGAGTAATACTAATGTAGCTTTTTCCCAAATGAACACACTTTTAATCTTGTTTTTCATAATCATCATCATTATTTTTAACAATTTGTCTTTAAGATGCAAATGAAAATGTAAATATGTTCCTTATTATACTGTTGGCAAAATGATCTCTTGATACATTCAAATTGGTTGACATAATTAATGAGGATAATTTGAAGGAAACATGTGGTTTTAATGTGCTCTCCATGAGGCCTGGGCCTCAGACTGGCAGTGGCCTGCTTTCCGGCCACACGTACCCCCTGGGGTACAGTTTCCCAAATACAATCTGGGAGCTTATTTGCAGCCCTTAAATTTGCGTTAAAAATATTGTGTCTGTGTGCAGAATTTGCAATATTTCCTTTAATTCACTAGATAAGTGAGTCTTGGATTTCAGAGGTTCCTTCTGTGCAATAAAAATTGTGTGTGTTGGAGAGAGTAGATTTTATCAGTCTATCTTTTTCTCACTGGCTGAGGGCAGTTGGTGCCCCAAGTGGACTCCAGCGGTCAGTCTCTGAGCTGCATGCTCTCCTGCTGATTTTTTTTTATGTACGAGACCTTTTTCTTAACCTTCACTTTTTTCTCTTTTTTTAAAAGCAATTTCTCCACAGTAAAATATTGGTAAACCAAATTAATTGGGGAGAAGCCAATTGTAATAAGTTTTAATAACAGATTTTTTTCTAAGAAATATAAAATAGTAAGAAATCATTTTCTTCTAATTCCATTTACTTTTAGATGAATGGCATTGCCAATGCTGTTCTCTTAGTGAATTTCAGAACCAGAAGTCACTGTGACTTTGGATGGTGTCACCTTTAACCCCTGACCAATCTGTCTTCCTTCCCTTCTCTCCTAATCCACTTCCTTTCCCTCCCTCCCTGGTTCATCAGAAAAGATGGCTGTGACAGGGGAGAAGTCCAGCAGCATCAATCATCAGTTTTTCTGATCTCTTGATTAGGAACCTTAATTGCAGCTTAGAGCTAAACATTTTTCTAGATATTTATTAAGGGAAATGCTGGTAAATTAACAGTAGATGTGGTTGTCTCATTAAAAAAACAACCAGAACTCAAAACATTTTTTTTGCTGTAACAGGGTATTAGGGTTAAGAGCAGGTAGGCTGTGAACCACTTTTTTATTTTATTTACATTTTTATTTTAAAATTGATTTGAGAGAGGAAGGGAGAAAGAGACAGAGAGAGACACATTGATTTGTTTTTCTAGTTATTTATGCATTCATTGGTGCCCTGAGTGGGAATTGAACCCACAACCTTGGTATATTGGGATAATGCTTTAACCAACTGAAACACCCAACCAAAGCCTGTGAACCAATTTTTATTGTTATTGCATATTGGTAGCTATGGGTGGGTGGGGGATAGACCACTGCAGATGTATTTTAGATTAGCTATTCCTATTTCACACTTCAGAGAACCATAAATAGAGTGAATAAAATCTTTTACATTGTTAGGGAGGGTTTTTGTTTTTTAATGATGGGAGGAACTAGTTACAGATCTACTGTGATTTAAGCAAATATAATGTGAAATCTTAACTTTATAAAAGAAATTTCTGTAAGTGGTATGTTTTGCTTAGAGTATCCCCATCATAACTTGATCTGCATACAATGTTTAGGAGCTCATTTACAGCTCAGAGTATGAAGTGTTATCTTTTGGAATTAGCCATACTTGACCGTTAACAAACACCATCAGCTTTTAAAAGGCCTTGAGTAGCCTTTGTCTGAAAAAGAAATGAAAAGGAAAAATGGGAAGAAAGACCAGGCCACATAGGGAGTGAGGAGGAGGCTACCGCCGCAGCGCACGCTTCCCAGCAGCTGGGTGGTCAGTCCAGGGGGTGTTGCCCGGTGCTTGCAGATCGGCATGTTCACGTGCTGGGCTGGGAATTATATTGCATTTTATATACATGTTAAGTTTTTTTTACATTGTATGTGTCCCATATGTTTGGATAACTGTTTTGTATTTACGATACAGTTTACATGTTTTTTTTGCCTTGGTATACATTTTAATACATGAATTAAAAACATTTATAAAAATAAAATTCCAAAGATACTTTTGAAAAACATTTTCAGATTGTTTCAGACTCCCTGCTCGTCCTCTGTTGGTTAGAAAACAAACGAGAAAGAGTCTTCAAAATAAATCCATCAACCTTTCTAGGATATTTTATCAGCTATGTGTAATTCAGTTCTATCAAATTTTCTGTCTCCCCAGTCTGTGTGATTGCTGCCTGGTGTAGCTGGCATGGTGAAGACTCTGTAAAAAACAGAATTCATTTATTCATTCTTCCTTTCTGTAAATGTTTACTGAACTCTACCATGTGCCTGGCATTTTTGTAGGTAATAGCAGTGAGCAAAACAAAGCCCTTGCCCTGTTGCAGTTTGGTGCTAGGGAGAGGTGGACACAGAGTAAAAAAGTAAAATGTGTAGTGTGTTCGTTGTAGTAATATCAGTTGCAATATTGTGTGTAATTGGGGAGGGGGAGGGTTACAGTTTTAGAGGGAGTTGCTCAGGGAGAAGGTGACACTTGAGTGTAGACCTGACAGGTGAGGGAATGAGTCGTGCAGGTATCCGGAGAGCATGCCCAAGGGAGAGCGCAGCAAGTGCAAAGACTTCGGTGTGGGATGGGTTGGTCTGTCTGGAACTGGCCAGGAGCCAGTGTGGCTGGAGGAGACCTCGAGGGGGAAGGTAATAGGAGGTGCACGCTGGAGGGCCTCAAGGAGCTCGTGGATGGCTTGCAGCAGTGGGGTGATTTGACTTGTGGGAGCCAATTGACAGGCTGGAAGCAGGGAGCAGGGAGACCAGTGAGAAGCTTTTGCAATAATCTTTGCAAAAACGAAGGCAGCCAGACTAGAGTAGCAACAGTAGAGGTTGTGGTAAGCTGGATTCTGGATGTATTTTGAAGATAAGAGGTAATGGATTGGACAGAGGTTGTGAGAGAAAGACAATTGAAGAACGATACCCAAGGTTTTGGCCTGTTTGACTTGAGTAACTAGAAGAATTTAGTTGCCATTAACTGAGATGAAGAACAATGAAAGGAGCAGATTTTCGGGCATAGTAAGTGTGAGGTGGTCGTTCGGCATCCAAGTAGAGCTGTTGAGTAGCTGGTTGGATCATGGGGTCTGGAGTTCAGGGGGAAAATCTGTGATGGAGATAGGAATCGCAAGGGTCATGGGTGAATCAGTGGCTCTTGAAACCATAAAACCAGAAGACAGCAGCAGTGAAATGGGTGCAAAAGGAGGCCTGAGACTAGGTCCCAGTTGGTGAGATGAGAGACCAGCACGGAGAAGGACCAGCAAAGACCAGAAACCACAAGTTCGTGTGGTACACATGGTGAGTACAGTGGGGTGGGTTCCTTCACTCACTGTGACCTTGGGCAAAACTTCTTTAATGGCTTGTTTGTTCAGCCACCGATCCCACATGCCTTGCATGTCTACTGTGTGCCAAGCACTATTTTAAGCAGCAGCCGAGGCAATAAATGAGTACATTTTAGTTGTGGGGGAGACGGGAGACAGCAGATAATAAGAAAACAAGAAGATAGCAGCAGCTGTCTTATCTGTGAGATGCTTCTTGGGGTGGTTGTAAGGATTTAATAAGACAATGCTCATAAAGTACGTATCTCAGTACTGGGACCAAGGAAGTGCTTGGTGAGAAATGCTCGGTGGTGATTGAGTCCTGTCATCTTCGGCCTGGCAGCAGGTCGCCAGCTGCCATCTCTGCCACCAAACGCTGGACGTGCTGCATGCTCTCTTGCTTCTGTGGCTTCGTATACAGTGATCTCTCTTCCATACTGCCACCCTCACCCCCACCTCGTTTGTTTCCTCTCAATTTCTTCTTATTTTCCCTATGTCCCTTGAGGTGACCCCTGTGCTGTCTGGTAGCACCTTCTCTTCTCTTACGTGTCCCTCAGTGCCCTGTGTCCTTTGCTTATTGGAGTCTTGCATTAGAGCAGAAGTTTTGTGAAAGTCTGGTCTGTGCCTTTTATACCAGAGCCTCACAGAAGCCTGGCTCCAGCCGGAGCCTCAGTAAGTATTTGTGCGTGATTGAAACTCTGGTGTGCCCGCGTGCCGAGGCGTGTTCTGTGTTCTTCTCTGCACTGGGGTAGTGCCAGGCGGTCGGATTAAGATGCAGCACGTCACCGGCCTTTCCTTCACCTTCCTTCCCATTTTAGTTTGGCCTTTTATTGTCGGGCAGTTTTAGGGAAAAGTCAAATTTCTTTTGGATAGAAAAGATTCTTCTTCCATATTATATAAAATGAATTAACATATCTCTGGAGCGTTTAAGTTGTCAAGTGTGGCAATCTCAACAAATGTTTTGTGTTATAATTTACTGACCTTTAGAGAAAGAGAAAATGATTTTCTGATAATTCTTAGTCTCTGAATGTTGTCAGTTGAACAAATTTCCTTGCACATAGTCCTTCCTCTTAAGAACACAGATATACAGTTATTAAAATATCTGCAAAGGAAATCAGCTGCTGTTGGGCTGTGCGTTTAACCCCAGAATTGCTGTGTCATTGTGTACGTTCACGTGGAAGGGGCGGGAGAATTTGTATCAAGTCTGGGACTCATCAGAGGCCAGGGCTTTGAAGTCCTTTGGTGTCAACAGTGACTTACTTCTGAATAAGATGGTGTTGTGAGGAGGCCAAAAGTTGGGGAATTTTCATTTCAATTATGTTTCAGGAAAATGAGTTGAGGGTATTCACTGTCAATTCATTTATGAGGTCAGGCTTTCAGAGCTGGGAATACCGCTTATCACACAGAAGTGAAGAGGAAAACCCGCCTCTGATTTCCCATCACCCGAGGCTAGAATAAGCAACTAGAGAGCATTCCAAAGCTGAGCTTGTGCTTGTCGGTTCTGAGCAACTGATTGAACTGGAGAACACCCCGCAGGTGGGTGATGACTCCTGCTTAGAATCTAGGTGGCCATTCTGAGGAGCTGGAGCAAACATTCACGTTCATCTGAATGAATATCAGCTCCCCACGCTAGGCACCACCCAGCCTCCTATTTTATCTGCACAGCAGTGGGGTGGATTTGCAGACTGTGCAGTTCTAGTTTATAGAGGAAGAACCACACCCCAGGTAGTTGGTCAGTGACAAAGTGAGGGCCAGAATACAAATCTGATATTTTCTTTTTCAGATACAAGTGCAAGTTTATTAGAAAGTCAGAGAGGCAGAAAAAGTAAGCCAGCTGGTCTACATGGGCTCAGGAAACCAGTTATGGAAGTAAAAGAAGGGCCCTTGGAGTTCAGGGGATGGAAAGATGATTTTTTTTTTATATAAGCACCCAGTCCATTGGGCTACAAGTTGAGTGTTAGTTGCAGTTGGAAGTGGAATCCTCTTAGGTTCATGGCAGATGGACACCAGTGTAGGGGTCAAGGCTTGGGTTTCAGCAGCTGGAGATGTTGGTCTCATTTTTGATTCATCTTCAATTAGCAGTGACTCTAACTAAACCCTTCACCTTGGGTTTGTTTGCCTGTGGATGAAAAAAGGGATTCTAGGGAAAGTAACCTCAAAGGGAGATCTAACCATAAATTCCTAACTGGACTGGTCATGGTGGGTAGTCCTGCCCCAGGCACATAAGTTTTTAGTAAAAGGTTTACGTTTGCCTTAAGCAAGCCCTGTCCATTGCTTCAGTGAGCCTAGGTTTCAAAGGAGCACATGATCCTAACTATTTTGTAATCCAGTCCCCACCCTGCTTTCTTCCACCTCTGTGCAATCTTCCTTACATTCCCTCCTTAATTTCAGAAGCATAAAAGAAGCTGCAAAACTGTTATTCTCCAGAGCATTTGAGATCTTGCTCCTTGACATATGTTGTCAATTTAGCTCAAATAAACTGTTACGAAAATTCTCTACAGGTTTGGATGTTTCCTATGTAGACATACCCCACTCTATCAAGTAATTTTCTGTGATAATAAATCATTTTTAGGAGGAAGGAAGGGGGAGCTACAACTTTAAAAAAAAACAAAAACAGGCTTCTTATGTGCCAGACCCTGTGCTGGGCACTTTCTACATATTTAATTTTAGCCTCCTATCTAGAGTGGCCAGTGAGATGTAAGCAGAAGTTGTGGGTTGAAGCTTCCAGGGACGCTCCTAAACATTTGCTTTACTCAGCTGGGAGGCAGGAGCCCTTTGGTCTTCACCATTCTTTTTCGTGCCTGGAATGGGTATGTGCTAGATGGTGCTCCAGCAGCCATTTTGTGATCAAGAGGTGACCTTGCACAGTTGGATGCTATGTGCTAAGGATGGCAGAGTAGAAATATTGAAGGAGCTTGGGATTTTGATGACAACTATGTAGCTATGATTCCACCACTGTACTACTGCTGAAGTTCATGTTACATTAGAAAAAGGTCAACCCCTCCCTTTTTTAAGAGACTTTTAATTCTGGTCTTTCAGTTCCTGATACTCTCATAAACTCATTTGGTGTATAAGATCAGTTCAGCAAATGTCAGTCAGTGACCCTGTATCCCTCCCTCCTCCACCCCCTCAACTCAGCCATAGACACACTGTTCTTCTTCTGAGTAACTGGAGCTCTAACTGTGAGGCCATTGAAACTTGGTGGATTCTCAGAAAATCTCCAACACATGGTACATGGACCAAGCCCAGGTAGCCCACAGTTGAGTTTTGTTTGGCCCAGACTTATTTTTTAAAACTCTGAATTTGTTGCCAGCATTGGGAAATTTGGTGATTTCACATAAAAACTGATTTATTAGAAAGTCTTTTGACCCAGGGTCTTCCTTTTTGCCTCACAGCAGTTAGCAGGAACTGAGTAGCAGCTGCCCCTGTGATGTGGCAGGTGCTCTGTGGCTCATCACAGCCCTCCCTTCACTCACGTTGCCCTTGAGTCCCTGCAGCTTCCTGACTTTGCAGCCTCTCCCCAGCCCCAGCCCAGCACCCCAGAAATAGTCTGCTAAAACAGAATTCCAGAATTTCCTGTGACCTTTGTCTTTCCCAGTCTCCCCTGATTTAACACTTATCATGTTGGGATTTTGTTTGTTTTGTCTCCAAAAACTGAGCATGCAGTTTTGAGAAGTGGCAAGATATCGACTTCTCACACATCAGAAAAGAGCTGATGTTGCTGCTTAGTGGAAGGCACCTTGACTTTCCCTCCTCACAGGTCTTACTGACAAGAGGCAGTGAGCTGGAGAGCCGCAGGCTCCCCGGGGGCCGCTGCAGGGATACTCGATTGAGACACTGAGACATCCAGAGGATCATTCGGTGGAGTATTGAATATGGCCTGCTTTGAACGGCTCTCATTAATTACCATGTTGTGAGCTGACTTTGGCCGTAAGAGTGACTCCCTCTCAGCTTGCTCTTAACTGTGGCACCGAGACATAACTCAGAGTTTTCCTGATTGGCAGACTTGGAAGGTGCGTGTTAGCTCCACTGCACTTGTGAAGTCTGCTGTGCAACACACGTGCCCCTCAGCTCCTCTGAATCAAGCAGAGAGCCCTGAGAAAACCTCAGCTGCTGTGGCATCACCTTCCACTGGGGTGACCCCCCCCCATTTCAATCTGATTTATGTGTAGGTCTTTGCATCACTGGTCATTACTCTTGGTTAAATGTCTGTGCAGCTTTTACAAATGTAAGGCTCAGGGGTTTGGGAGAGAAAAACAAAAACTGTTCTGGCAGGAAATAATTTGTAGCTATGATTCATTATGACTTACAAACAGGGTGCATTATGTTGGGTGGGGAGGATCAGTTTTGCATTAGCAACTCGAGTAAAATGGCATCGAGCACAGAGTGAGTGTTCAGTGAGTATGTTGGCTCGGGGTGAAGACAGGGAACAGTTGGGTATAACTGGTGTCCCCCAGGTCAGCACCAAAGTCTTGGGGTTAATTTCACCATCAAAAGTAAGTTCTGGTCCATGGGTCCTAAGGGAATCTCTCAGGATGCAGGATGCGGATTGTGCAACAGGCCTAAGGAAATTCTCTGCCTGCTTTGGAACTGGTTTCTGTGGGAAGCAAGATTCTGTGCCTGGACCCACAGGGCCTGGCTTCTGTGTCTGCTCTGCCAGCAGTGAATGGATGTGGGCCGGCCGGGCGAGGAGGGATGGGGATGGGGTGTGTGTGGGGCAGCCTGATGGGAGCCTTGGTACAGCGAGGCTCTGTTGGCCTAGTTGGCTGCTTACCCAATTTTATTTCAAGAAATGTGGTTATCACTGTCAGATTGCTTAGTTTTCACAAGAAACATAGTGAAGAGCTTGCATAACAAGAGAACTGAAAAACTTAATGTCTAATAAAAAGGCTTTATTCCATACAGACTTCTGGCCACGGTCATTGAGTTCCAATTCTGTGGAAGAAGTGCGGAGGCTAACCCACTTATCAGATTTTCATTTCTTTTCAGCAATGGCTTAGGAGCAATGCTGTTTGGTCCCAGTGTGAATTTCTGTTGATTTTTGAGAACTGGCGTGTGTTCTTTAAGCCTGCCCGCTCTGTCCTGTCACATCCAGACACCGCGCGCCGGCCGTCTTCCCGTGTTCCCACAAAAAAGTCTGGTGTGTCTTCAGAAAGAATCGCACCCATGACTTATTAATGATCTAACTAGGCATAATTTTCACAGCGTTCATTCACCAAATTTATCATAGAATATCATTTAAGATGAAAAATTAATGGAGTAATAGAACTGAAGTCCTTTTTGGAATAATATTAGCATTCAAGGATTCCCACCCCCATGGATATTGCAATTACCAACGTGTCAAATTTCCCCTTCAAGAAAATGAGCAGCAAAGCCCTTCTCCTGCCTGTGGGCTGTCTCTCCTGTTTGCTCTGCAGATCCACCCCCCTCCCAGCCCTGATCGGTGACCGGAGGCTGCCCTGTGTGGACCATGTCGGCGGTCTCCTGGCTCTCTGGCTTCCGTGGGTTCAGGTAATGCAGAATGGGAGGGAGAGGGTGAGATCAGGGTATTTTAGTCCCTGGCCCCCTCGACGAGGGCCCCTCTTCCTGGTCCCGTGCCGCCACCTGTGTGAGCCCCTCCATTGCCCTGCAGGCTGCCAACACCTATGCTAGCGGTCTATTTATTAAACTCCTAAATTATCCTAATGGAATGTGCCATCTGCTTTGTGCTGGGCTGTAACTGATGCAAATAAGCTTTTGGTCTACAGCGATAACAAATAAGGGGATTGCTGACCTTTTGGTGGTTAGCGAAGATAAGGGGCCCTGTCCCTGGGTCCTTCCTGTGTGTTCACTGACTGAGCCCTTTGCCTTCTTTCAGTCAGTCCCCGCCTCCCTCCTCCCCTTTTACAGCTGTCAGTCTCTTCCTTGTTTCCATGCCTCTGGTTCTATTTTGTTCCTTAGTTTATTTTGTTCATTAGGTTCCTTTTATAAGTGAGATCATATGGTATTTGTCTTTCACCAACTGGCTTGTTTCACTTAGCTTAAGAGTCTCCAGTTCCATCCACACCATGTGGACAGAGGCAGAGGGGGAAAAATTGGGATAATGGTAATAGCATAAACAAAAAAATTTTTTTTAAATGAAAGTACATGAATAAAAAAAGAAAGAAAAAAAAATCCAAATTTCCAACCCAAACCTTCCATCCCTTCAGGAAACCCACCCGTCTGCCTCTGTGAAGGTCACGCCATCACAGGCTGGTTTTACCTCTTTGGGATTTAAATCCCTGGGCCCTGGATGTCGGGCTGGGAGCACCCCGAGGTGGCTTTGGCATGTGCTTTGTAGAGTAACAGGCTTGGCTCCAGCAGCGGGGGCATGTTCTGGAAGCCACAGGGTAGGTAGAGAATGTGAGTCACTGGTCTTCCCGGTGTTACCATGGCCCTATTGTCACTCGGTTCACAGCTGGCACATGCATTTTAGGAAAAACGAAAGGATTAATGAGTGTTGCTCTGGAATGTTTGTGTCCCCCTCACAATTCCTATGTTGGAGCCATAATGGGCCTATGGGAGACAATTGGGGTTGGAGTCATAAGGGTGGGGCACTCATGATGGCATTCATGCCCTTCTAAGAAGTGACCCCAGAAAGCTTGCTGCTCCCCATCCCTGGCTCATACACACAAAGAAGAGGTCACGTGAGCACCCAGCAAGACGGCGGCCACCTGCAAGCCAAGAGAAAAGGCCTTGGAATGAGACCCACCTTGCTGTCTGGGACCTGCCAGCCTCCAGAACGGTGAGACATACATTTGTTGTTTAGGCCTCTTAGTCTCTGATATTCTGATACGGCGGCCTGAGCTGGACAGACATACAGGTGTTTTACACAAGCCGCTGCCTATGTCACCTGTGCAAGTGATCCAGGTTGGCTGTGGTCCCGCCTCTCAGAAATCCCTGTTTCGGCAATTCCTCCTCATAGCCCACTTTAATATTCCAACAAAGACAATGGGGGCATTTTGGCTGAAATTCAAGCTTTAATGGCCACTGTATCTTTCTTAGACAGGTTGAACTTGGAAATGAGCAAATTTTCTCCACAATTTTGCCAACTAAAAGATCCCTTTAGCTATGCATGCTGTGAAGGCTGGTCCTTTGATTCTGGTCCTAAAGGGAAGCAGAAAGCTCACAGAATGATGCTGAGCACCAGTGGCTGTACAATTTCCTTTTTATTTTGTGTGCTTTTTTATAGGATATAAATAATGACAAAAATTACAAAATTTATAACTGGAAGCCCAAGCATATTTACACATATATTTCTGTTTCAGCAAAGCTACTATTCACTTTGCTCCTATACAGTTTCCTCTTGGTACCATATATGTGTTATTTTACTCTCCATTTACTACATACATATCAACAGTGAATAGGCAAAATATGTACAAGGAACTGTTCAGTTCAAGTAATTTAATATCGTATTAAAATTCTTCCACACTGAACTAAACCACATACATTTGTCAGTTTGAAATAAAATTTAATTATCTTTCAAAACTCACCAAATGATGAATGTAACTGATAGTCTCAAGTTTAAAATAATGTTGGTTAATTAAAAAAAACAACATTAAGACAACCCCACAATTTTTCAATATCGCTATAATGAACTTCAAATGATTCACAATATGATCGGTTAGAACAGTATACATTAAAATGTTACTTTTTTCCTATAGTGATATTCGTACTGTTTATATAATTTGATTCTACATAAATATACATTATGGTATTTATCATACAAATACTCCACAGAGACATTAAAAAAATTAAAATACCTTAATGAAATGTAAGTAAATTTTATTTAATCAAATAGTAAGCAAACATTTATTTATTCTTCTGTTTCAAGAAAAGAATTTATTACTTTGGAATCTCTCTCTTTTTTTTTTTGTATTTACTTTTTTCTAGAAAACAAATTTTTGCAATAGAATTTTATTAACACCTTTCTCAAATAAGGTTTCCGTGACAGAAATCTTGACAGCAGGAGCCCTAGATTTTTTTTTAAACATGTTCTTTAAAACACGGTGAAGATTAAAAAAGCAATCTTTGCAGGCTCGTGGCTGCGCCAGCCCTGTGGGTCGGACGCATCTGCTTGCCCCGGTCTCCGGCTCTGGTGAGGGTCGCCCGGACCTCCCCATGCCCCAGCCTGTCCTCGTCACAGGAACAGTGGAAATGGAGTTATTTGAAATGAAACCAGAAACATCCCTCATGACTAATCTAGTTTTCTTATCAATGCATTAATGAAACATTCTTTTAGTAAAAATATTTAATACAAGACACATTTTTTGTGCATAATAAATTCCTCTGTTTGAAAGCATTTGTAAATTTTGAATCAGTCCATAGATGTAAAGGTTTTCTGTATCTGACAGAGTTGATTACGTTTAAAAAATCCCCACAAAGATAGAAATCGGGAGGAAGGATTTCCTGGCCACTGTGGGGGTGGTTTTTGTCTTGTTGCATGAAACTCTACTCAGTGATAAAGGATTTTACAGATGCTGAATGGGGGGGGGGCTCTGTTCTGATTCTACCTTTAAAACTGCTGACAGTGAAAAACCCACAGTTTTTATACTTTTCGGCAGTATTAGAGAACCCTTGTACTTTTTTTTTTTTAGGTGTTATCCCCAGCCACAGCAAAGCAAATGTTGGGGCCAGGTCATTAGAAATACCTTGGGCGGCAGCAGGGAGGGGAGTCTGGAGTCAGCGAAAATCTCACCTCATGCTTCTCAGGGTTTACGGCTGGAAAGTCTTGGTTGCGCTTTCTGTCGCTGCTGCAGAAAGAACGTCCCCAGGAATGGCCAGTGGCCTGTCCCCTACAACAAGGCCACACAACAGCAGTCTTCCTCCTGGGCTGGGTGGAAACGAGGCGGGAAGGAAAGCCTGCTCCGGACTGCTCGGCGTGCAAGGCACCACGAGGGCGGGAGGATGGTGAGTATCAGAAAATCGTGGTCTCATACTTGGTGTTAATTCCCCTCTTGGCTTCTTGTCCCGGCTCCACGATCCACGGCAGGTTGGCCAGAGTCTTTTGCTCAGATGGGTCGATCTGCTTTAAGAGAGAAAGGCTAATGCCTGTTATGTGGTACCTGTACGGGGGTGCGGGCATGCAACCTACGCTGCTCAGAGACCGGCCTGCCGCCCTGGCCGGACTTCAGGGGTATTGGTTGTGAGAATCATTTGTTTGTTCTTTTGACCATATTTATTGCACATGGACCTGCAGAAGGGGCAGTGAATGGGACACAGCGCTTGCTCTTGAAGGCACATGGATGGGGAGCAGACTCAAACATTTGGATATGAGAAGTGAGATGGGAGGGAGAGGGGGCGGGGGTGCGCAGGAAAGCCACTGACCCCACGTCAGGGAGCCAGGGGGGCTTCCAGGAGGCGGTGCACCAGGTGATGAAACTCCCTGCATCTCAGGCCTCTAATGGTTTCCATCCCAGAATAAATCCCAAGTCTTCAAGGTGACCTAGGATGGGCCTGCCTGCCTCTCTTCACTGCAGCCACACCGGCCCCTCTGCTGTCCTTGGGCACCCAGCCCACGCCTGAGGCCCCTGCTCTGAGGGGCACTCTTGTCCCAGACCCCTGCACACTCTGTGCCCTAGTGTCCTTCAGGTGGTGGCTCAGACAGCACCACCTCCCTTGTGCTGTGCAAAACAGTGCCCCGGCTTTCCTGCCCTCCTCCTGCTCTGTATAATCCATGTACCACGCAAACCATTTGTTTATTTGTTCATCCTCCGCTCCAAAGTGTGTGCGCGAAGGTGTCGCTTTGTCTGTTCTGTTCACCCAAACTTCAAAAAGTTCCTGGCAACCCAGTAACTAGTAGGCACACAGTGAATGCTTGTTGACTAGGCAGCACCCCAAGAATGCAGTGGTGTCTGAACGGGGAGCTGAAGGGGAGCAAGAGTGTGCTGGGTGAGGGCGGGGAGGGAAAGTGGCCCATTTAGGGTTCGTAATCAGTTCACAGAGGGGAGGAGAGACGAGGTGAGCGGGGCTCTGGCAGGTGGAGCCTTGAGCCTAACTGAGCTGTGGAGTGATTAAGCTGTTCCCGCCCCTGTGCACACAAGCCCGACCTCTGAGGCGGGCCTGGGCACATTCTCGCCCAGCTGGTGCCTCATCCTTGGGTGTTCCCATGTCTGCCTTGGCCCCGGTCCCCAGGAACACTGGGCAAGGGGGTGGAGAGAGGCCTCCCCCGTCTCTCTTGCACAGTGAGTTTGGAACCTTCCAGAAGCCTGTGAGATCCGTGCCCATCAGCTACCCTCCAACGCGGTTTGGTTGTATCGCCATAAGGCTGCAGGGAGCATTTTGCGGATTTTCAGGAATCACAATAAACAATTTCTCAGCAACAAACAATGGGAACGGAGGGAATGGAATGCAGACACCAGTCGAGGGATCGGGGTCTGCGGCAGCACATCAGTGTCCTTATTCTCTGCATGTTCTCACATTTCTCACCGAGGCCTCTAAGATTAGTTTCTAGGAGCTGCTCCAGCGCCCGACCCTCAGCACCCTCTGGCAGAGTCTGGGGGACCAGAGTGACGTGAGACAGGCACCTGCCCTGAACAGATTCCCCAGCCCACCCGAGAATGAATACAACTGTCTAAGAGAACTCACAAAGGACTCCGGAAATTCCCGGAGAGTTAACTCATATTTTTTGTAGGGGAAGACACTAAATCTCCACTTACACTGCTGCACAGAATGAGAAGCAGGTGATATGCCTGAGTGCAACGAGCGTGGCCCAGAAAAAGCTGCTTCCTGTGGCTGAGACCTGAACGGCAGAGTCGGCCATGTGGAAATCAGGGGACACAGTGCCATGTGGTGGGGACAGGTGGGACAAAGGCCCCAGGCAGGAGCAAGATGTGACTTTCAGGAACAGGAAGGCCTGAGTGTCAAGGAGAAGTGCGGTGGGGGAGTGGCCTTCAGGGAGTGGGCAGTGGGGCCATGGTCTGGTCTGTGTTGAGAAGACGCCCCGGGTGCTGTGAGGAGGAAGGGAGGCTGCTAGGAGGTGCACTTCTGTGGGTTTGGAGGGCAGGGTGCGGGAACCTTCCCTGGGTGAGAAGAGTGACGGAGGGAAGGAGGGGAGCAGACGGATCCAAGGTTCGTTCCAGAGGCTGAGTGGACAGAAGCCGCCCATGGGTGGGGTGCGGGGGGGGGCAGGAATCGGGGATGACTTCTAGATTTATGTTGAGAACATGGGGAATGGTTGTATTGTCGACTGAGCTGGGAAAGCTGGAGCGAGAGAAACAGGGCAAACCAACGATTCTGTTCTGGACACACTACGTTTTTGGTGTCAGTTAAACACCAAAGGCAAAGTCAGTGCGTGCGAGTGTGGGTTCTGGGAGTGTGTCAGGACTGGGAGTGGGGGTCTGGGTATAAGCTGGGTGGGGGCGGCAGAGCGTGGGGTTTGAGGGAAAGATTTTCAGGGGCCGCTCGGTCACTGTGGCTTAGCCACGAGAGACGAGTGTGGAGTGAATGGCTGAGGTGGGCGGGGTGAAGATCCCAGGAGTGAGCCAAGCTGGCAAGGGACACAGAGGCCAGGCACTACGGGCGGGGACCATCCAATGAATGGTGAAGTTGCCGAGGATGGTGACAGGAGTAAAGGCCAAAAAGAAGTAAGTTGACAAGGAGCCATGAGGTCACCAACGTTAAAAACACCGGGGTTGGGGGGAGGAGGAGAGACTTACAGATGGAAGGGTAGGCCTGCCCGCCCGAGTCCCAGCGTTCCTGGGGTGCCAGATGGCAGGCAGCCGGAGCAGGCGCTGCTGGGGAGCATTCCAGCTTCGGGGTGTTGCTACTACAGAGGAGCCCGCTCTGAAGTCATGGAAGTCTGCTAAGACAGGATGTCTGCGGAGCTGGTGGGAGGCGGGGGAGGAAGTTCCTGGAGGGGCTTCGGAAGAGTCTCCGCTCTGCAGGAAGCCTCGGCTGGGACCCAGCACCTGGCCCGGCTGCCTGACCTGCGCACCACGGGGCAGCTCTGCTCCGGCCGCCTGTGGCCTGTGCCTCTCGCTTCCCCTGGGTACCGTCACCTTCACGGTGAACCTCTGTCAACCTCTGTGGGCCAGGGGCTCTGCCCCCAAAGCTGGGACCTCGGGAAGTCCTTCACCAAGGACAGCAGCAGTGCCCAGGCCCCCTCCGAGGGGGGGCCTCGGAGACACCGCACCTTGCACAGCCAGCCACTTCTTCCTGAAACCGGAAACCGGCTGCAGGAAACCGGAAACGGAATGTGCATGGGAGCCTCCAGGTTCAGGCACATGGTCTCCTATGCTTTTCAGGAACTGGGTGGGGTGGATGACAGACACAAGCCAGGAGGAAGCCAAGGACAAGATGAAGAAGAGTGGCCCCCACACCCCGCAAGGGCCCGGGTCGGCGGCAGCCCCCTTTCCCTCCCGGCCAAGGCCCTCCCAGCAGCTGTGTCTTCTACTTACCACTGACTTGCGAATGCTAACGCGGGGCTTGGGGATGGGCTTGGAGGGTTTGTTTTCAAAGCTCTCTGGCAGTGTGGAGGAGTGCCCCCCTTTCCTGGCTTGTAGTGCCAGCTGGTAAGCGACTTCAAACGCCTGTCCCAGTGTCAGGATGATTTCATAGGCTAGATTCTGCAAGAGAAACGAGAAGGCGTTCACTGTGGCACCCTGT